TTTGGCTGTGTCCCCACCCAAATCTCATCTTTAATTCCTATGTGCTGTGGGAGGGACTTGGTGGAAGGTAATTGACTCATGGGGGCAATTCTTTCCTGTGCTGTTCTCGTGGGAGTAAATAAGTCTCACAAGATCCAATTGCTTTTATTTTGTTTTTCAAGACAGAGTCTCACTCTATTAGCCAGGTTGGAGTGAAGTGATGTGATCTCAGCTCACTGCAGCCTCTGCCTCCCAGGTTCAAGTGATTCTCCTGTCTCAGCCTATCAAGTACCTGGGATTACAGTTGCCTGCCACCATGCCTGGCTAATTTTTGTATTTTTAGTAGAAATGGGGTTTCACCATGTTGGCCAGGTTGGCCTTGAACTCCTGAACTCAGATAATCTGCCTGCCTCAGCCTCCCAAAATACCAGGATTACAGGCATGAGCCACTGTGCCCAGCTGAGATCTGATAGTTTTTTAAAAAGGAGGAGTTCCCCTGCATGAGATCTCTCCCGTTGCCTGTTACCATCCGTGTAAGACATGACTTGCTCCTTCCATCATGATTTTGAGGCTTCCCTAGCCACATGGAACTGTAAGTCCAATTAAACCTCTTTTCTTTGTAAATTGTCCAGTCTCAGGTATGTGTTTATCAGTAGCATGAAAATGGATTAATACAGTAAATTGGTACCAGGAGTAGGGTATTGCTGAAAGATACCTGAAAATGTGGAAAGGACTTTGGAACTGGGTAATAGGCAGAGGTTGGAACTGGGAATAGGCAGTTTGGAGGGTTCAGAAGAAGATAAGAAAATGTGGAAAAGCTTGGAACCTTCTAGAGACTTGTTGAATGGCTTTACCAAAAACGCTGATAGTGATATGGATAATAAGGCCCAGGCTGAGGTGGTCTCAGATGGAGATGAGGAACTTGTTAGGCACTGGAGGAAAGGTGACTCTTGTTATGTTTTAGCAAGGAGACTGGCAGCATTTTGCCCTGCCCTAGAGATTTTTGGAACTTTGAACTTGAGAGAGATGATTTAGGGTATCTGGCAGAAGAAATTTCTAAGCAGCCACGCATTCAAGGGTGACTTGGGTGCTGTTGAAAGCATTCCGTTTTAAAAGGGAAACAGAGCATAAAAGTTTGAAAAATTTGCAGCCTGACAATACAATAGAAAAGAAAATTCCATTTTCTGAGGAGAAATTCAAGCCAGCTGCAGACATTTACATAAGTACAGAGAAGCCAATTGTTAGTCCCCAAGACAATGGGGAAAATGTCTCCAGCACATGTCAGAGGTTTTCACAGCAGCCCCTCCCATCACAGGCCCAGGGGCCTAGGAGGAAAAAGTAGTTTCATGGGCTGGGCCCAGGGTCCCCAGGCTATGTGCAGCCTGGGGTTTGGTGCACTGCATCCCAGCTGCTCCAGCCATGGCCAAAAGGGGCCAATGTAGAACTCAGGCCCTGGCTTCAGATGGTGCAAGCCCCAAGCCTTGGCAGCATCCATGTGGTGTTGAGCCTGAAGGTGCATGGAAGTCAGTAATTGAGGTTTGGGAACCTCTGCCTAGATTTCAGAAGATGTATGGAAATGCCTGGATGCCCAGGCAGAAGTTTGCTGCAGGAGTGGGGCTCTCATGGAGAACCTCTGTAAGGGCAGTACAGAAGGGAAATGTGGGGTCACAGCCCCCACACAGAGTCCCTACTAGGGCACCATCCACCAGACCCCAGAATGGTAAATCCAGCAACAGCTTGCACCGTGCACCTGGAAAAGCCACAGACACTGAATGCCAACCCATGAAAGCAGCAGGAGGGAGGCTGTACTCTGCAAAGCCACAGGGGCAGAGGTGCCCAAGACCATGAGAACCTACCTCTTGCATCAGCATGACCTAGATGTGAGACATGGAGTCAAAGGAGATCATTTTGGAGCTTTATAATTTGACTGCCCTGCTGGATTTTGGACTTGCATGGGCCTGTAGCCCCTTTGTTTTGGACAATTTCTCTCATTTGGAATGGCCGTATTTACCCAATGCCTATATCCCCATTGTATCCAGGAAGTAACAACCTGCTTTTTTTTTTTTTTTTTTTTTTGAGACAGGGTCTTGCTCTGTCACCCAGGCTGGAGTGCAGTGGCGCAATCTTGTCTCACTGCAACCTCTGCATCCTGGGCTCAAATGATTCTCCTGCCTCAGCCTCCCAAGTAGCTGGGACTACAGGTGCACACCACCATGCCTGGCTAATTTTTGTATTTGTAGTAGAGATGGGGTTTCACCATATTGGCCAGGCTGGTCTCGAACTCCTGACCTCAGGAGATCCACCACCTCAGCCTCCCAAAGTGCTGGGATTACAGGCATGAGCCACCGTGCCTGGCACCTGCTTTTGATTTTATAGGCTTATGGGTAGAAGGGATTTCCAACTTGGCCAGTTGCCTTCTCAGGTGAGACTTTGGACTGTGAGGCTTAAACTGACCCCCAATATTTAATAGCACAACCTTCCACCACATCCATCCCCAACATTCCTGCTCCCCCTTATCCTGTTCTTTTCTTTCTATAGCACTTACCACCTCCAACACACTATATCATTTTTTTTAATTGTTGGAATCCCCTTGCTTAAATATAGGCCTTTTATTTTATTCATTGATCTATTCCAAGCATCTAGTGCCCACCATATATAGCAGATACTTGATAAGTAATTGTTAAATGAATGAATCTCAAGTAAGTACTGAAAGATGTAACATACTATACTATAAGTGACACGGGACAATTGATAGCCATTGGGGAAATACAGGCAAACACATTGGTTCTAGACTTTACCTCATACACCAGGAAAAAAACCTAGATGGATTAAAGACTTAAATAGAAAGATAATAACCATAAAAGTAGTTCAGGAAACCATGGGGAAATTATTGTATAATCTTGGAATGGGGAAACTTTGTCAAAATACCAAACAAAATCCCAAAGCCATAAATGAAAATATAAAACTACAGTAAACATATTCAAAGACAAATTTAAAACTAGGAAAAAAATCACATCTCAATCTTTCCAATATGAAAAGATTGCCTATAAAATAGATAAGAAAAAGGCCAGTAGCCTAAGAGAAAAATTGGCAAATGTTATGAATTAAAAATTCAGAGAATAAAAACCAATGAAGGAAATGAAAAGATACTCAATTAAAATTACATTGAGATACTGTTTTAAAAACTTTCAGCCTGATAAGTTCAAAAGCTTGATGACATACTGGGATGGTAGATCTATGAGAAGTACAAACTCTCAAACATTGTTGGTAGAAATGTAAATTGGTATACTTGTTATGAAGCGCATTACAGTGGTATCCATCAGCATATACACTATTTTTTTTCAAATTATTTATTTGTTTTGAGACAGGGTCTCACTCTGTTACCCAGGCTGGAGTGCAGTGGCATGATCTCGGCTCATGTAACCTCTGCCTCCCAGGATCAAGTAATCTTCCCACCTCAGCCTTCTAAGAATCTGGGACCATAGGCGTGCACCACCATGCCTGGCTAATTTTTTTCTATTGTTAGTAGAGATGGAGTTTCACCATATTGCCCAGTCTGGTCTCAAACTCCTGGACTCAAGTGATCTCACCTCAGCCTCCCAAAGTGCTGGGATTACAGGAGTGAGCCACCACACCTGGCTCATATACATCCTTTCACACCAATTCTACTTTATTTATTTATTTTTTTTTTTTGAGACAGAGTCTTGCTCTGTCACCAGGCTGGAGAGCAGTGATATGATCTTGCTCACTGCAACCTCGCAATCCCTGGTTCAAGCAATTCTCCTGCCTCAGCCTCCCAAGTAGCTGGGATTACAGGCACGTGCCACCATGCCTTTTTGTATTTTTAGTAGAGATGGGGTTTCACCATGTTGGTCACAATGGTCTTGATCTCCTGACCTCATGATCCGCCTGCCTCAGTTTCCCAGCAATTCTACTTCTAAGAATTTATTCTTGTTACCAATCAGGATTAGCTAGGTTAAGTTGAGGTAATAAGCAATCTCAAAACATCAATGGCTTAAAATTACAAAGGGCTTTTTAAAATGTCTCACTAGGGCCATGGAAGGCCTATCCTTTAAAATATATCTAAAGTGGCCTTGCCCGGCTGCTCATGCCTATAATATCAGCACTTTGGGAGGCCAAGGCAGGCAGATCACCTGAAGTCGGGAGTTTGAGGCCAGCCTGACCAACATGGGGAAACTCCATGTACTAAAAATACAAAAAAAAAAAAAAAAAAATAGCTGGGCGGGTGGTGCATGCCTGTAATCCCAGCTATTCAGAAGGCTAAGGCAGGAGAATTGCTTGAACCTGCAAGGCGGAGGTTGCAGTGAGCCAAGATCACACCAATGCACTCCAGCCTGGGCAACAGGAGCAAAACTCCATCTCAAAAAAAAAAAAAAAAGAAAGAAAAGTTTTAATAATTGCTGTATTTAACAACGGCTTGTAACATTCCTGAAAATGCAACAACCAGCTCTCATGACCTCTCTTGGTCTGGCTCCAGCACAAAACTGTGCAACTGTCTTCTCCTTTGCCCACTGTTTCCAAATAAATAAGCCTACTTTTTTAGTTCATAGGTGTTTATTTATTTTTTTAAAAAATCTCCTTTTCTCCCATGAGATAGGGTAGGGAAGAGGAACTCCCTTTCTCCTACCCTTAGGCTTCTCTCAGCAGGTGAACAAGTCACATGGAAGTTTTGTGAGAGGCTTCACTGGGAGACAAGAGAATGAAAGCCTGTGTGTTCCCAAGAGACTTCTTTGCATCTGGCCAGCTCATTGCTGTCTTGGCATAACTTTGGGAGGGTCATATTGCCCATTTGGGGTATGATTGAATGTTTAAAAAGTGGGATAGGCTGCATTACTGCTGGTTTGTAGTTGGTGGAAAGAAGGAGAAAAGAGCCTGACACATCCTCTTCCTTCCTCTCCTTTTTTTTTTCCTTTTCTGTTATCACCATCACATTCCTTGATGTCATTCCTGCCATTGTGAGCTGCAGGCCCTCCCAGCTCTGGTGGACAGCCTGTAAGTAAGGAGGGGAGAAAGAGCTGGGGAGGTGGGGGCAGATCACATCAACATCTTGGCGTTGGGCTGGGTCTATGTGGAGCCCCAGAAATGTTCCCCAGCCCATTCTTCCCAAGAATCAATGAGTAAAATCAGGGGCCTCCCACCTGAGGTCAGGGAACCAGGCCCTGGACTGGAACTTGGGGTGGAAAATGGCCTTCTTTGTCAACTGATTCATTCTCCAGAATTCAACTTATTCTCCGACTCGGTGGTGTTTGAAAGCAACTTTATCCAGGTACCCTCATGGCGCTCAGGGCCAGCTGTCTTTTTCTTTCCAAAACTTGTTCCTAGATGTTGGTTAGGAAATGCTGTGGCCTTTGAAAGCCCTGGGGAGAACAAAGAACCACCAAAGCTAGAGAAAACCAGGGTGTCTGGGTCCCATGTTCACCTCCATTTATGCCTGTGGTATATTGGAGCTCCCTGTAGGTCATCTGTTTTAAGGAAACTGATTTATACTTTGTGAAAGGAGAGATCAGAGCTCAATCTCCAGGCAGGATTCACAGGCCCTTTCTGGGCCGCTTGTCCAAACTGGATGGTTACAAGGAATAAAGGTTGCTGTTAGAAACTCTGCTTTGAAATCCAACCTCCTCACTCTGGGATGGTTTAGAAACAGCCTTATTTGAAAGCAAAGACACTGGGTAAATAGGCCTTGCCCAGGTCCTACCATTCCCTAAAAGGGTGGTGGTGACATACCACCAATGGAAGTGAGCCTGGGATGGAGCCACTGGGAGTGGAGGGTGATCGTTTTCTTATATGTCAAGTCTTATGCAGGTACTGCCTGCCTCCCTCTAGCGGTCTAGCCTGAACCCATGCTCTTGCGCAGGAGAGCATGACCAGTTAATCAGCTGGTAAACACTAAACATCTACTACTGCATGCAGAGCAGGAAGGAGGTGCAGAGAAAGATCAGAGAGTGTCCCTGGCCAGGAAGCCTAAGAGTTTGGTTTACCTGTTATTTGGCAACTGTCTAAGCAAGCTGCATGTCAGAGAATTTGGGCCAGCTGATGCCCCAGGCATGACTGCAGAGAGTGTTGAAGGCATTCTTTCTCGACTTTGGCAGTTGAGGAAGGCTTTCCAGAAGTGTCGTAAGCCATTCTTTAAGAAACTGCCGAGATTTGGGTAAGTAGAAGAGCAGGGGGAGTGTGTCCCAGAGGGGCGTTAGAGTACCTGAGGAAAGGCAGGGAGACTGGAATGCAGGGAGGTCTGCAAGACACAGACCCATTCAAATGGAGGGGGAAAGCGGCCAGCCAGCGGTTATAGGAGAGAAGGCGGGAACAGTTGGAGGTGGGTCTTGGGCTTCATTTAGAGACTGTTTACAGAGCAGTGAGCTACTCCCTGATGGAGTCCCCAGATTTTGGAGAGCTATGTTTATGGCTCCTGCTGCTCCTGTGCTGCCCCTGGGAGATGTGTATTGGGTGATCAGCTGACAAATCTGAGGTGAGCTCATTCCTAACACAACCTTGGTGGAGACAGAGCAGCATGGGAAATCCAGTCTCAGGATCCAATTTCTAGTTATTTCTATTTGGGTGTAATGATTTGGCTGCAAATTTGTTCTCTTAATGTGTTTTCTATTCTTTTTTTTTTTTTGAGACAGAGTCTTGCTCTATCACCCAGGCTGGAGTGCAATGATGCGATCTCAGCTCACCGCAACCTCCACCTCCCAGGTTCAAGCAATTCTCCTGTCTCGGCCTCCTGAGTAGCTGGGTCTATAAGTGCCTGCCACCACGCCTGGCTAATTTTTGTATTTTTAGTAGAGATGGGGTTTCACCTTGTTGAACTTGCTGGCCTTGAACTCCTGACCTCAGGTGATCTGCCCTCCTCAGCCTCCCAAAATGCTGGGATTATAGGCATGAGCTATAGCACCCGGCCTCAATGTGTTTTCCTTGGCCTAATATTAAAACTGTTCAGATTATCTGAATGGACACTAAGTGACCAAGGTAGCAGCAAACTCAGAACCTGCTAGGGAGTGGCTGACTCCCACAGTAAAGTTCAAAGTTTGATTTTTTAAAGAAATGTTTTGATAGAGACAGGGTCTCACTATGTTGCCCAGGCTGGTCTTGAACTCCTGGCTTCAAGTGATCCTCCTGCTTTGGACTCCCAAAGTGCTGGGATTATAGGTATAAACGATCACACGCAGCTCAAAGTTTACTTGAAGTGATGCAATCCACATATTAGTTATCGTTATCATTGTTACGGACAGTTACACTGCTTCCTCTCTCCCGTCTCCTCCACATCACCATCACTATCACCATCCCAAAGCAGCATCACCCACAAACATTTATCGGGCACTTACTCTCAATGCGTACAATCCTCTGTGTTTTGCAGAATTCATGAATTTCATTCCTCAACATGGGCTCCAGAAAGTGTCACTTTTTTTTTCAAAATCAAAAATCACTTTTCTTGGAACACCATCTGGTCAGGCTGGTGGGAAATTACATTTCAGTCATCCCCAGGGCTTTCCCTTGTCCCCACTTCCACCAAGGACTGTGCAATGGTGCCGATGGTTTTACAAAGTCTAGAACATTGGCTGGGCATAGTGGCTTGTGTCTGTAATCCCAGCACTTTGGGAAGCTGAGAGGAGAGGATCAAACAGGAATTTGACACCAGTCTGGGCAACATAGTGAGATCCCATTCTCTATTTTCTTCTTATTATTATTTTTTTGAGACAGAGTTTCACTCCTGTTGCCCAGGCTGGAGTATAGCAGCATGATCTCAGCTCACTGCAACCTTGCCTCCCAAGTTCAAGTGATTCTCCTGCCTCAGCCTCCCCAGTAGCTTGTATTATAGGCATACACCTCCATGCCTGGCTAACTTTGTATTTTTAGTAGAGACGGGATTTCTCCATGTTGATCAGGCTGGTCTCGAACTCCTGACCTCAGATGATCTGCCCGCCTCAGCCTCCCAAAGTGCTGGGATTACAGGCATGAGCCACAGCACCTGGCCCCATTCTCTATTTTCTAAAAAAAAAGGTGTAGAGCATTGGGAGAAGGCCCTCTGGCTTTGGGAACGTAGGGGTCCCTCCTCATACATTCCTTACCCGGGTCCTCGTGGCTCCTTAGTGGCCATACCTCTGGTGCTTTTCTGCCAGCCATGCACAGTGAGGTGGGGTGTGTCTTAGCTGAGACATTGTGCCCAGTGCCAGGCCACGCATCCAGTCTTTCTGTCCTGCGACAGCCCCCTGGTGCTTCCACACAATAGGTCCTCATTCCACTCAAGACCCAGCAACAAGATAGCCCCTTCCTCACCCTGGGATTAGTGCTCCAAACCTCCCTCAACTCAAGCTCTCTGGGTCTTCCCTATTCAACAGTTTTTTCCTCACTTTCCTCCCCTTCTGGACTTTGTTCACACAATCTTCCTTCTAGGCCACTAGAAACCAGGGCCGACTTCTCCTACCCAAGGGTAGGGGAAGGAAAACTTCAGTGCCACTCAGCTTTTTCTTGCTAATGCATCTTTTTACGCTAGATAAAACAGAGGACACAGAGAAGGATAACACAGGGCTCTTGAGGCCAAGGACCTCGAAGTCTATTTGGGGAAACCAACGAAAAGGATCAGTAGCAGGTCAGGGCCCAGCCCCATGTGCCATACACCTGCCCCCCACATGAAGTGCCCCTTTCCAGTATCTGTATCTTTCCACCCCTTGTTTTCTGCTTCTTTCTGACCCATGTACCTCGGGCTGATTTCTAGGTTGCTAAGCCCGGGAACTGGAAAGATGTCTGTGAAAGGTCTACCACTGTGATCCTTGGGGTGACCTCCTCAGTGCCTTCCCTGCCACTCCCCAATGTCCTCCTGATGGCCAATGTTACCTCGCCCCGGGGTCCGTTTTCCACCTGGAACACACCTGGTGATGCCCCAGTCATCACCCTCAGCAGGTAAAGGCTTGAGGGAGGGGCTGGAAGGGATGGAATGATTGACGGGAATATGCATTGCTTTGTAGCTGGATTTTAGATCAAAAGAAAGGGCAGTGTTCTTTAGTGCATAAACCCTGTAGAACTCATTCATTCATTTGTTTAGCAAGTATATATGTATGTATGTATGTATGTATGTATGTATGTATGTATGTATGTATTTAGAGACAGAGTTTCACTTTTGTTGCCCAGGCTGGAGTGCAGTGGCACAATCTTGGTTCACTGCAACCTCCGCCTCCTGGGTTCAAGCGATTCTTCTGCCTCAGCCTCCTGAGTAGCTGGGATTATAGGTATGTGCCACCACAACCAGCTAATTTTGTATTTTTGGTAGAGAGAGGGTTTCTCTATGTTAGTCAGACTGGTCTTGAACTCCTGACCTCAGGTGATCCACCCAACTCTTGGCCTCCCAAACTGCTGGGATTACAGGTGTATGTCACCACGCCCGGCCTAGCAAGTATTTATTTAGTGTCTGTATATACCAAGCACTGTGCTTCGTGCAGGGATAGGGCAGTAAAAGTCTTTGTCTAGAGCCTAATTTTTGAGAATCGTGGCTTCCTTTTGTGTAAGTGTGTGTGCATGTGTGTGTGTATAGACACATTTCCATGTCTTTTAAAATCTCTTTTTAAATATCATTTTGATAATTTCTATTCAGTAATATGAATGAATTAAAATTTGCTTGACTAGTCCCCTAATATTAGACATTTAGAAATGTTTCTTTTTGTCAATATAGAGGGGGTTTCCAAGGAAAAGGCGGGGATATGAAAGTCAAACACAACTATGAAGTGCTGAGATTGAAAAAAAATACTAGATAAACAGGTGACATCCATTCTTTTCCTTGCCCTTTCAACACAGCAAATCAGGATATAGGGAGAAAGAGTCCTAGAAATTGAGTCAGGAAATCTTAGTTCCAGGTCATACTTAATAAGTTCTAAACTTGGGCGAATCACTTAGCCTTTCTAAGCCTCAGCCTTGAAATCTGTAAAGTGGAATTAATTACACTTATCTTGGCAAGACACAGTGGCTCACATCTGTAATTCTAGCTCTTTGGGAAGCTGAGGTGGGAGGATCACTTGAAGCCAGGGGTTCAAAACCAATCTGGGCAACAAGGGAGATCCTGTTTCTACCAAAAACTTTCAAAAAAAATTAGCTGAGCTTACTGGCACACACCTGTATTCCTAGGAAAGTCCTGGCAATTGGAGAGGAGTCAGTCTTAGCAATCACCTGCGCTTTCATTACACGAGCTTTCTCCCTCCAGCATCCCCCAGGCAGAGAGGTAGGAGGCTGAACCACTTCTAGGTGGGCACCCACGTGGTCAATTGAAACCACTGGCTCCCCCATGGGAATGTCCTGATTATGCCCAGGCTTCTCCCCCTGAAGTATGTGGAGCTACAAATCTATGACCGGCTCCAACGCATCCTGAGGGTGAGGACGGTGACTGAGAAGATCTACTACCTGAGGCTCCACGAAAAACACCCAGAGACTGTGTTTCAATTCTGGATCCGCTTGGTGAAAATTCTGCAGAAAGGCCTGTCCATCACCACCAAAGACCAGAGAATCGAATTCACTCACTGCCTGGTGCCCAAGATGCCCACCAGCTCCATGGAAACAACAGTAAGTGGGCCTCCCTCTGGGACCTGTCAAGAAATAAGTGTATATATATATGTAAGTGCGTGTGTGTGTGTGTGTGTGTGTATAGACATGTTTCCATGTCTTTTAAAAGCCTTTATAAATACCATTTTGATAATTTCTATTCAGTAATATGAATGAATTAAAATTTACTTAATCAGTTTTTAATGTTAGACATTTAGAAATCAATCTTTCTTTCTCTCCTTTTCTCTCTTTCTCTCTCTCTTTCTTTCTTTTCTTTTCTTTTTTTTTTTTTTTGAGAGCCTTGCTTGTCACCCAGGCGGGAGAGTAATGGTGCGATCTCAGATAACTGCAATTTCCACCCCACAAGTTCAAGCGATTCTCCTGCCTCAGCCTCCAGAGTAGCTGGGATTACAGGCATGTGCCACCATGCCCAGCTATTTTTTGTATTTTTAGTAGAGACAGGGTTTCACTTTGTTGGCCAGGCTGGTCTCAAACTCCTGTCCTCAAGTGATCCACTCGCCTTGGCCTCCCAAAGTGCTGGAATTACAGGCATGAACCACTGTGCTTGGCCTTTATTTATTACTGTAAATAATGCTAAAACAAGTATTTATGTGTATCATCTACATTTCTGATAATATTCTCAGATTGGTTTTTAGAAGTAGGATTCAAAGAGCATGAATACTTGCAAGGCTCTTAGCACATATTACCAGATCATTTCCATACAGATCATAGCAAATTATACTCTCACCAGTGTGAGTGTCTGTGGGCCAGGCGTAGTGGCTCATGCCTGTAATCCCAGAATCATCAGACACTTTACAAATTACAAAGCACTTTGGGAGGCCGAGGCAGGTGGATCATCTGAGATCAGGATTCCAAGATCAGCCTGGTCAACATGACGAAACCCTGCCTCTACTAAACATACAAAAATTAGCCAGGTGTGATGGTGGGCCCCCGTAATGATACTGGGAAGGCTGAGGCAGGAGAATTGCTTAAACCGGGGACGTGAAGTTTGCAGTGAGCCAAAGTCACACCTTTTCACTCCAGCTTGGGCAAAACAGTGAAACTCCATCTCAAAAAAAAAAAAAAAATTAGTGTCTGTGTCACTGTGTATTCTGTTACAATTGAGCAGTAAACGTTTTAATAAATTTCCTAGTATAATAGGTAAAAAAGGGGCATCTCTTTGATTTTCAATGAGTTTCAACATTGTTATGTATATATACATATGTAACAATTGTTACATTGTTATGTATTTATAGCTATATATATATTACACAAGATTGTTTATATATATTATATATATCAATGCCATATATGTATATATACATATATATACAATTCTACATATGTATATATATAATGCCATACGTGTATATATGGCATTGTCTGTTGTGTTCTTTGGCCATTTTTCTATTGGCAATCTTCTGTTTCTCTAAATTGATTTGTAAAATAAAACTTTTGATACATCAGGATTTTTGACCCTTTAATTACAAGCTTTTTGCAGATATTTCCTCAAGTATTTGCCCTTCTTCTTTGGTTTATTTAGGGTATGTCTTTGACACACATAAGGCCTTTCCAGGTCTTGATTGGTGTAGAAGCACAGGAAAGAAGGCCGATAGATTAGACTGTCCAAAACCTTCAGATTTCAGAATCTAAATGCTTTTCTTCTCTCACCTAAGTTGTGTGCTTCAGGTATGTTGTCATTGACTTTGAGGGTCAGCAGTTTTACAGCCTGACAGCTCTGCCTCTGAATGTTCAGATCTGCACTCTGGACAGGGCAGCCACTGTAGCTGACCAAGGAGCATGTGTGACCCTGCCAGGGGGTCCCATTTTTTTGTCTGATGATTCTGGGGGCTTAATACTGAAGGAACAGATTCCCAGGGCTAGGCTGTGAAACTCAACTGTGATAGGAGTTTGTGATATTACAAAGTTCTGCCCTGAGGAGGCCAAGAACACTCTCAGCAGACACCTGACTCTAAATTTCTCCATTCAGTCTGAAAACAGCCTCCTGTCAACCCCCCAGCCCAGCGAGACTCTCATGCTGCTGGCGGCTGAGCAAACCAATGGCAGTGTCTCACGGCTCTCAGGAAAGCCCCAGCTCACAGCAGACAGGTGGGTGCTTTGTGGCGTCAGCTCCAGATCCCTTCCTCCAGCGTGAAGTCATGGGGTCAATGACACCCTCTACCAACCTAGCTCAGTTCCTTTGTATTCTAGATAGTCATGCACGTGGCTTTTTCTGTCAAAAAAAATAAATAAATAAAAAAAGCCACGTGCATGACTATCTAGAATACAGGCTTACATTTATTATAAGCCTGTCTTTGAAAACAAGGACTTTGGCTCTTTGATCTGAATATTCACTCCCAAGGCAAACCCCAGTGTTTTCTAATGACAGGTGTTCAATAAAAGGAGTGAGGGATGAGAAAATTAATACAAAGAAGTATAAGCTAACAAAGCAGACTCATGGTGGAGTTAGCTATTGACTATTTCCAATCCAAGTTCACAAGGATCCCTGGGGTAAAACCCCAGTTCTCTCGACCTCATCTGCCTCATCTTCTTCTTTTATTTTATTTTATTATCATTATTATTATTATTAATTATTTTTAGAGACAGAGTTTCACTCTTGTGGCCTAGGCTGGAGTGCAATGGCCTGATCTCTCAGCTCACTGCAACCTCTGCCTTCTGGGTTCAAGCGATTGTCCCACCTAAGCCTCCCAAGTAGCTAGGATTACAGGCGCCTGCCACTGTACCCACGTAACTTTTTGTACTCTTTGTTTGTTCATTTTTGAGGAGGAGTCTTGCTCTGTCACCCAGGCTAGAGTGCAGTGGCACCATCTCAGCTCACTGCAACCTCTGCCTCCCGGATGCAAGCAATTCTCCTGCCTCAGTCTCCTGAGTAGCTGGGATTACATGCGCCTGCCACTGCGCCTGGCTAACTTTTGTATTTTTAGTAGAGACAGTGTTTCACCATGTTAGCCAGGCTGGACTCGAACTCCTGACCTTGTGATCACCAGCCTTGGCCTCCCAAAGTGCTGGAATTACAGGCATGAGCCACCATGCCTGGACAATTTTTTGTATTTTTAGTAGAGGTGGGGTTTCACCATGTTGGACAGGCTGGTCTCGAATTCCTGACCTCAGGTGATCTACCCACCTAGGCCTCCCAAAGTGCTGGGAATACAGGCATGAGCCACTGCACCCAGCCCTCACCTACCTCTTCTGCAAAATGGACAGAATAAGAGAAACAACCAGTAGCTCCAAAGTTTCATTAATTTACTAATAATTGTATTAGATTCTTTCTGTAACAAGTATTAGAAACTCAAAGCCAGATAGTGCAACCAATATGCTGAACAAGTGCAACTTGTAGGGTATCATCAGGATGCAAATTTATTTTGTCTGCCCTTCATAACTTTTTCAGTGGGAGAAGTTTTCCTCTTACCCCTGGATAAAAGCTGGCTTTCTGGGCAGGCCACATAGCATATGGGCTCTCTTTGAGAATATAAAATGTCCTTTATATTCTCAAAGAGAGCCCATTTTCGCATTTAAATTGCGAAAGCAGCCTCAATTCTGAAATTAAGGTATCTAATGTCTAAAAATTATCAAAACTCTGAATTTATCACACCTTCTCCTTAGCTCCCTATCAAGGTGACCTTTCCTAGAGGGGAACTGGGTCGTCACTCTTCTTTTTCTGTTTCCTGTTTGAAGTTAACGTTTTTCCTCTTAGGAGCTTCTTTCTTTCCTTCCTTCCTTCCTTCTCTCTCTTTCTCTTTTCTTTCTTTCTTTCTTTCTTTCCTTCTTTCTTTCTTTCTTTCTTTCTTTCTTTCTTTCTTTCTTTCTTTCTCTTATTTCCTCCCCTCCCCTCTCCTTTCCTTTCAACAGTATCTCACTCTGTTGCCCAGGCTGGAGTATAGTGCCATGATCTTGGCTCACTACAGCCTCAATTTCCTAGGCTCAAGCAATCCTCCTGCTTCAGCCTCCCAAGTAGCTGGGACTCCAGGCACACACCATCACACCGGATTATTATTTTTTTTATTTTTAGTAGAGACAAGGTCTTGCTATGTTGCCCAGGCTGGTCTCAAACTCCTAAGCTCAAGTGATTCTCCCACCTTGCCTCCTAAAGTGCTGGAATTATAGTCATGAGCCATCACAGCTGGTCAGGAGCTTTCTTGGGTTCTTTGAAATCACTTTTTGACCCCTCAACTGCAACACTTCCCTTTTATCTGGCCACCCAGCAACTACCTGCCCCCTCCCCTGGCCAGCTGTGGGCTCTACAGGGTCCATGCCATCCCAAGCACTAGCTATCCCATTACCCCTTTAAGGAGTCCTCTTGGGAAGGGCTTACAGTGGCTCCAGGTTTGTATGTGCTTAGTCTCTCTCTCTCTCTCTCTGGCACAGTCCACATCTGGTCCTCAGGAAACATCCCGTCATATTTTGACCAGGCACTGGGGAGGAAGACCTCGCTTTCTAGACACAGGAGCCACAGCTCAAGCTCCCTGGGTTGTCCCAGGAAGGCCCTCTCTTTCAGCTTGAGGAGAAGGAGCCAGCAGCTCTTTACAAAGGACTCTCCCCATGTGACAGCCCAAGCCCTTGGTTACCAAGGCTGGCAATCCCTCAGGCAGCCCAGCTCACTCTCATTTCCCTGATCGTAAATTTTTGGTCCCCTGGATTTTGTCTTTGAGTCATAATACGTTAGATTCTCAACACATTGCAGCAATGCTTAAGGTTCAAAGAGTTGTTTGTTCCTCCAGCAGGGCAGGCCTTAGCTCCGGGCTCCCTCCTCCTCTCCTCTGTGGCTTTCTTTCCTCAGGTTGCCTTTAACATCATTCCACATATGCATATTGTAACTGCCCCGCATTTCCATATTTCCACATATGTTCAAGGCACTGGCGCTGGAAAAAGACATAATTAGAAAGTGGGTGGATTTTTTTGTTTTGTTTTTGTTTTGAGATGGAGTCTTGCTCTGCCACCCAGGCTGGAGTGTAGTGACACCATCTCGGCTCACTGCAAGCTCTGCCTCCTGGGTTCAAGCGATTCTCTTGCCTAAGCCTCCTGAATAGCTGGGATTACAGGTGCGTGCCACCGTGCCCAGCTAATTTTTGTATTTTTAGTAGAGACAGTGTTTCACCGTGTTGGCCCGGCTGGGCTCGAACTCCTGACCTCAAGTGATCCACCCACCTTGGCCTCCCAAAGTGCTGGGATTACAGGCGTGAGCCACTGTGTCCAACCAAAAGTGATTTTTAAGTTAAATTTTAACAATGTTTTATTTTTCTTCTGTTTCTTTCAATAACCCCAAAATTCCCTGGCCTCCAACAGGAACAATGACACTGCCATTGAAACAGGCAATTACAGAAGCTATAAGATACCCTCGCCAGTGGCATCTCCAATCAATTTGAACATACCCATGACAGCTGCTTTGAGCCACAGCCTCTGTGACCAAGAGGACCCTCATGACACTTTCTACAAGTTCCTGCAGCCAGTTCCCTAAGAGAGCACTTCTTGGGACCCTGACACTAGACAAAACATGCTCTTCCTGGCATGTGTGTACTTGCTACCACCTCTTATAACACTCCTTTCCCACTGTGGGTCAGAGGACCATGGGAGAGGTAAGATGGTGTTTCCGACAAGGTGCTTCTGTACTTCCGCCAATAAACCTCCAAGTGAGTCTCTAATTGTTGTAGGTTGTGCTATTGGGAGGCTCGAGTTTGGGAAAGGAGTGACTGAGAACAGGAGCACCGTTTTTGGAAAAATAGGTGGGAAAAACTACTGTCTGTGTATCCGTCCATTCTTGCATTTTTATAAAGAAGTACCTGAGACTGGGTTTTATTTATTTATTTAAGATGGAATCTCGCTCTGTCACCAGGCTGGAGTGCAGTGGTGAGATCTCGGCTCACTGCAACCTCCGCCTCCTGGATTCAAGCAATTCTCATGTCTCAGCCTCCTGAGTAGCTAGGATTACAGGCATGAAGCACCACACTCAGCTAATTTTTGTATTTTAGTAGAGACGGGGTTTCACCATGTTGGTCAGGATGGTCTCGATATCCTGACCTTGTGATCCTCCCACCTCGGCCTCCCAAAGTGCTGGGATTAGAGGTGTGAGCTGCTGCACCCACCCCGCCTCCCTGGTTTCTTTCTTACCTATGTATTCCAAAACTTCTAGACCAATTGGTAAATTTAAATGCCACAAGCATACCCTATGTACAAAAATGAGAGAAGGATTAATTTAAATAGCATACATCACTGCAAAGAAAGAAATCCGGTGGAAGTTTTAGTTCTTATTTCGGCTTCTTGGTTATAAGTCAGTAGTGGCTGTTATTTATGACTTCCCTCCTATGCTACCATTCCAGGTACCTCTTCCTTTGACTGACTTCTTTCCCTGGTATGGAGTCCACAGACTTTCACTCCTGAAAAGCCTAAGCCCTTGATGATTTTATACATGTAGAGTTGTGTGATCTTCTATTGACAGAGCAGGAGCTGTGAAGAGCATCTCAGTCTCCTCTGAATACCATTCCTACTCCTCTCTGCCTCCGTTTTATAGAGCCATCTTTTTGCTTTTAATAATAGCAGTCAATCCACTCCAACAACTCCAAAACACTATGCAATCCTAATGGCAAGAGGAGCCAAAAATGGCAGCCGCAGCTCAGTCTTCAGTTAGTGGAATGATTTTTGTGTCCCTGGTGAAATCACTTTCACCCTTAGGTATTAAAATCTCCAAACTTTATATGTGCAATAATTTTTTTTCTTTTTAAAACATCTTTTCCCACATGTTCTATGCAATTTTTCATACTATTCTTTCTTAAGAAACTCCCGGAGGATGTACTCCATTAAAATGAAGTCAACTCAGAAAAACATGGCTTCAGGAAAGGGGTGGGTTCCATGAAGGAAAAAAGTAAAGGCAATATCCAGGTGAATAAAGATGAAGAGAGAGCCAGAATGATGGAACAGCAGCCCCAGGAAGCAGTCAGCTCTCACTGGAGCAGGAGAGAGGACTCTGCTAAATGCATCTCCACAAAGATCAAATTGATGGAATACCTGATGTGTTTGAATGCACTAAGAGAGTCACACATATGGCAAAGTTTGGGGGTGTGTTAGGAACAGGACTATTAAATCAAGCAAACAAAAAATAATATAACTATTTACTTCAAGAGGAAGAAGTTATACAAAAAAAAAGAATTATAATTTATGTACTGTATCTTTGACTATTCATAATACTGTACATATTGAATACAGATTAAGTCAAAGTAAAGGATGATTGAAGGGCAATTTGGGGAGTGGGGGAAAGGGGGAAGGACAAAACAGTGAAGATTAAATCCTTCTCTTCCATAGCTGGAAGTTCTGTGCCCCAGAATTCCCATGGTTCCTGCATGTTCTCCAAGCTGATCTATATCTAAGGGCTCATTGCCTCTGGTTTCCAGGTGGATTTGGCCAGTGGGAGTCCCAGGCAGGTGACAAGAGAGGATGAGGAGAATGAGGTCGGGACAACTATTCCCTCCCTTGTGATCACATAAGGTAGGCTGTTAACAGAGGGAAACTGTCGGAGGCATTTGAACCAGAGCAACTCCATCTTGATTGGGAGCTGGGTAAAATAAGGCTGATATCTACTGGGCTCCATTCCCAGAAGGCTAGGAATTCTTAGTCAAAGGATGAGATAAGAGGCTGGCACAAGATACAGGTCACAAAGACCCAGCTGATGAAACAGGATGCAGTAAAGAAGCCAGCCAAGACCCACCAAAACTAAGATGGTGATAAAAGTGACCTCTGGTCTCCCCACTGCTCATATATGATAATTATAATGTATTAGCATGTGAAAAGGCTGCTATTCTCTAATAAACTTGCTTTCACTTTATGGACTCTCCCTGAATTCTTCTTGCACGAGGTCCAAGAACCCTCTCTTGGAATCTGGATCAGGACCCCTTTCCACTAAGAACACTGCTCCTCTGGTGGTGGCTTCCTCTACTAGACTCTCCTGGATCCAGTAACCACTCCCTCCCATCACCCTTCAGATCCCTGATATGGACTTAGCTAACTGGATGCCCCCTTCCTGAATTGTGTAACATGAGCAGGAACGTCAGTCATCTCCATGCAGGTGTGGCGGTGGAGACACCATCCTGGCGAGGCAGTTCCAGCTGTGAGACAGTTGCTGGGCTTCCCTCCAGCTTACTGCTTCTTGGTTCTGGCCTATTCTCCATGTCTGGTTCCCTTAACCTTCAGTTGGTGTGAAGAGCTCCCCAACAGTCTTCCAATAAATTCCCTTTGGCTTGGGTTGGCTGCATGCTTTCTATGTGTAGAACCATGAAGTCTAATTGATGTGGTTCTGTGCCCAGAAATGTGGATGCTGTGTAGGGAAACATGCCAACTATATGTGTCTATTCATTGTGAATCTGCCAGTACCTGGGTCCATCCTACTAGACTGACCCAGTTAAAGTGTCTGTTTCTTGTTAAATAAATCCATTTCTGCCATAGCCAGCTCTGGCGGCTCCACATTGTTTCTCCCACAAAACAAGGGAAGAAACAACAGCTCTTGCTGACTGGGCTTATCTTTGAAGCTGATTTCTCAGAATCTATTTCTTAGATGAAATTAACACCACACAAAGGATCAGTAAAACTTCCAATGACCAAGATACACACCATTTAAAAGAGAAAAGAAACAAAACGTTGTTATCTAGAGTCAAGTAAACTCCACCAGAACATGACATGTGCAAAAACAATCCTCAAGACAATGTAAAAATGCTTCTTAAAGTTTCTGAGATGGAATTCAGAGAAAAGAGAAAACATCCTCTAGGAATAACACCCAAATGGACGCTCTTAAAACTGTGATGGAAATGAGATGAAAGCTTCACAAATGCCTTTGTAAGTCTTGAGAAAAATAATAAGTAGAGGATTAATTAGGGCTGTACAGATGTTGATGAGACAGCAGGCAGGGAAGCAGAGAAGCTGGGAGCATGAATGTATAGAAACGCGCGGTTCTGGGGAATTCATGAATGACCTCCCAGAAACACAGGTCATCAAAACACAGGGGGCCCATCTCAAGAAATTCAACATCATGGCTTCAAAAGTGGTTCCAATCACTGAGAGTGGTAAAGCTTCATAATTTAGAAGAAGCATTTAGAGTTATTAAGGCTGAGGCCATTTACACAAGCTGTAACCTGAGTGGAAACCACCAGAACTACCACAAACTACAGAGAGCCTAAGAGAAGGCGGTTCTGGATTTTGCTCTGTCTCTGATTCCTGCCCGATTTAGAACAAATCAATTTATTTCCCCCTCGGGCATTCTAATAGAAAATTAGATAATTTCCTTTTAGTAAACTATCACTGGATTTTTAAATTCTATCCCAACAAAACACTGCTTCTGGTGTTAATAATTGCAGTTGCAGCCAGAAACACACAACGTATCCATGACATGCAAATAAATATTCACAGTTGGTGTATTCTCAGTTGCTTTTATAACCTTTCTAAAGTCTCCAAATTAAGTACACTGCCTTGGGCAAGGAAGGAAAGGAATGTCTGTGACATCCATCCCTCCTCTAACTCCGTTCAAGGGCCATATCTGGATGCAAGAAGAATGCGGTGTTTTGGGGTCCTGCCACTCTGTCTGCAGCCATCACGGTACCTAAGCTTAAGTTCCAAGAGCGGAAGCTGCTGGAGCAGGTGGACTTCCTGAACTGGGAGGTCACAGACCTGTACAGGCTGCCTCCCTGGCTGCAGAGGGAGGCTGACACATGCTGCAGCCAGCCAAGCCTCCCATGCCAAAGCGGCCCAAGCACTGTTTGACAAGCTGTATGCTCTGGGCCTGGTGCCCACACGGCTTGCTCGAACTCTGCGACATTGTCAGGGCTTTATCCAGGCCTTGTCCTTGTCGCCACTGCCTCCTGCCCACCGTGCTCCTCAGGCTGCAGGGCTTTCATGGAGCAATGCCATGTGTGCATGGGCCCCTGATGTGGTTACCGACTCCACCTTTCTTTGTCCTGTGCCGCATGGAGGACTTTGTCAGCTCATCCAAGTTCATGGCACATGCTGTGGTACAACGAGGAGTGCAACGACTTCGATCTGGAAGACTTGCTGGTCTCCCAGTCTCCACAGCTGCCTGTCTTTTACAGACGGGAAAACTGATGCTGGAGATTCTGTGAGGGCGCTCTCCCCAAGAGTGTCAGCCAGTTGTAGGTTCTTAGATTCCTCAATGGCAGGCCATGCACAGAGCCAAGGCGGGGAGAGGGCGTGGTCCCTGTTTTCCAGGAATTTTTCTTAGTATTCTTAGTACTTGGATTACTGATTATTAAATGACTGTGTCTTGGGAGACAGTGGAAAGTGATTTGGTGCTGCACTGTAGAATTGTTAGCTTGTGTTGGAAACTTTGTAGTGTAAAAGCAAGAACTCTAGCCGGGCACGGTGGCTCAGCCTGTAATCCCAGCACTTTGGGAGGCTGAGGTCAGCAGTTCAAGACCAGCCTGGCCAACATGGTGAAACCCGTCTCTACTAAAATACAAAAAATTAGCTGGGCATGGCAGTGTGCACCTGTAATCCCAGCTACTCCGGAGGCTGAGGCAGGAGAATAGCTTGAACCTCAAAGGCAGAAGTTGCAGTGAGCTGAGATTGTGCCACTGCACCCCAGCCTGGGCAACAAAGTGAGACTGTCTCAAAAACAGAAAGCAAGAACTCCACATATCCCCCAACCCCGCCCTGCCCCACACACCCCCGTTTCCCTTCATGGTCTTATAGCAGGACTGGTTCAATTTATTCAACTCAGATTCTTGCTCCTGGTCATGATCAAGCTGTGTACAGATAATGGAGAGTTTGGGCTCAAGTTTTCATAAAACGGTGGACACTTTAGTGTTCAGATCCTCTCACTCATTTAAAGGAAAGCTTTTGTAATGCCAGTCAATGCCCCAGCTGCCTTTCAGTGTGAAGAAGAAGGTGACAAAGGTGAAGAAGACAAAGAGGAAGATGAAGATGAAGAAGAAGAAGGAGGAGGAGGAGGAGAAGAATCCGGCAACTAGCGGTGGGGGCTGTCACACAAACATACTCAGCATGCTTCATTGGTGAATGTTTGGCATTTTTTAGTGTCTCCACATCTATAATCTAATGAGATTCTCGTAATTGTGTAAGATACCTTTATTATTAACTCTACTTCACAGATTACCAGAAAAGAAAATCCCAGAACTGCTTAAGGGGTTCACAGGCCTTATGCTTACAGGCATGAGCTTCAGGCAGCTTGTGATCCTCAAAGTCCAGCAGGCGCTGGGGCGATGGCCTCTGGGCTTTTCCTCACAGGGGTCAGCCCCATTTTGCCCAATCCTCTCAGCTGTCATCACTGAGATCTTGGGTTGCAGGCTCAGCCCAACCCAGCGTCTAAGCCAGTGTACCCAACAGAAGGCTGTGCCGTGGGTGTTCAGCCTTCAGCATGTGCAGTCTGGGAGGAGCCATGTTCCTATGATGGGCATGGGGATGTCCTGACCTTCCGTACCTCTCACCCCATTGACTTGATTACTGCAGGGATTTGAACCCTTCTCTGATCCCAGCACGATCCCCTGACATTGCCCTGACTGACTCCAGAGGCCTTCCCTGGACAGCTGGACCTGCTTCCCATATTCCTTGATAGTATCTGTTCACGTTTTTCCAATTATCTTTCTGTCTCTCTTTCTCTCTCTCTCTCTCTCTCTCTCTCTCTCTCTCTCTCTCTCTCTCTCTCTCTCTCTCTCCCCCTCCCTCTTTGTTTCTGAGATGGAGTTTCACTCTTGCTGCCCAGGCTAAAGTGCAAGGGCATGATCTCGGCTCACCACAACCTCTACCTCCCAGATTCAAGCCATTCTCCTGCCTCAGCCTCTTGAGTAGCCAGGATTACAGGCATGCGCCACAGTGCCTGGCTAATTTTGTAATTTTAGTAGAGACGGAGTTTCTCCATGTTGGTCAGACTGGTTTCAAACTCCCGACCTCAGATGATTCACCTACCTCAGCCTCCCAAAGTCCTGGGATTACAGGCGTGAGCCACTGTGCCCAGCCTCTCTCTCATTTTAAACAGCAGACAACTAAATCTTATCACTGTAAGCATTTTTTTATTTTCTTTTTTTTAAGCATGTTTTTAAAGAAAATATTTACTGGACATGGTGAATCATGCCTATAGTCCCCGCTACTCAGGAGGCAGAGGTAGGAAGATCACTTGAGCCCAGGACTTCAAAGCTGCAGTGAGCTATGATCACACCAGGGCACTCCAGCCTGGGTAGCACAGCAAGACCTGGGCAAGACCCTATCTCTTAAAAAAATAGTAAGATAAAATATTTAATCTTTTCCCTGGAAACTTTTCTAGAACTCGACATGTTCCTCCAGCCTTCCTAAATCTGTGTACCTGATTAAACAGCCCTCTGCATGGCCCTAATTGAATCCCTTGTTGCCAGGACACCAAACAAGTGCATTTCTTAAAATCATTTGTAATCCAGACATAGCTCAGGCCTCTTTCCCCTTTGAAAAGGCAGATATATATTTCTCATTCCCTCCACTGATTTCTGCCTCCAGCATCAATGCATGCATCACTGTTTTATACCCAACCATTCTGACCACAGAACTCAGTCCTTTGTTGACTTCTAAAGAAATCTATACTGAGAATTTTGTGAGTCTGGTAGACTCTATTAAAGATTAAGAAGTCACCTAAAAGGCCTCCCCCATTTTGACAGCTCCTCCTCCTGCCTCCCAGCCCATCTGGCTTCCTTTCCCTTCCTCCTAGACTCCCTCCCAGCTTCCAATTCTTCTTCCTCTACCATGCAGAGAATTCAGCTCTTCCAGCTTCTACATGTAAACTAGATATACAAGCTCGCTAAGGTGCTCAGCAATCAAGAGACTCACCATCAAGAAGAGCTACCTTCTTAAAAGACATTTGAGATTGTACATACCTTTTTTTTTTTTTTTTTTGAGACAGGTCTCACTCTATTGGCCAGGCTGGAGTGCAGCAGCGTGACCATGGCTCACTGTAGCCTCAACCTTCCAGGCTCAAGCGATCCTCCCACCTCAGCTTCCTGAGTAGCTGTGACTACAGACGTGTGCCACCACACATTTGACGTTGCAAATACTTCTTAAAAGTAAAGAGGAGGGCTAGTTTCTGTAACATATTTCTAAGATTAAGTAAGTTGACTGAAGAAGGATGAGAAACCAGCATGTGGGGCAGGCATGGTGGCTCACGCCTGTAATCCCAGCACCTTGGGAGGCCAAGGTGGGCAGATCACCTGAAATCAGGAGTTCAAGATCAGCCTGGCCAACATGGTGAAACCCCATCTCTACCAAAAAATACAAAAATTAGCCAGGCATGGTGGCGGGCACCAGTAATCCCAACTACTTGGGAGGCTGAGGCAGGGAGAATTGCTTGGACCCAGGAGGTGGAGGTTGCAGTGAGCTGAGATTGTGCCACTGCACTCCGGCCTGGGTGACAGAGTGAGACTCCTTTTCAAAAATAATAATAATAACAATAATCAGCACATGGGCTTTAGTGCACGTGTAACATATAACCCATGATAATGTAAATAAACTTGAATAGGGCAATTCTATAAGGGGAACTGATCACAAGTATTTTTCCTGTCTGAGCATAAGAATTCAGTCCATGTGGTCCACACATCTATATATAACAATACTTTGAGAGGTTATAAGCACAGGAAAAGGATTTGTTGAGAATGACTAACCTCGCAAACTGAAATGAAAACTAAATATATTTTGCAAGGCAGTTAATTTAGGCATAAATATAGTCACTCAACTGTGAATACCATGCGTGAACTTCCAGCCTTCTTCACTACAGACTGAAATTGGCTTTGCTCATATCTTTCCTGGACTCCTTTCTTCCCAGGTCCCTTGGTCTTTGTGTACTCACGTTATCTTCACAGCAAATGGGCTTCTTGCTTTAAGGTCTGTATCAGCCTCATGTTTAGCTGCAAACAATGAGAACCCAGTCAACGAGAGGTTAAGGAACTCTATTCACTATGTCTAAACTTTAAAGAAAAAGATTTATGTTCCTTGCAGGCTGTGGCGAGTAAAAAATTCCTATTTAAAGTTTCTTTTCTTGTTAAAGAATAAGTGTGCTGATAACTTTGTTAAGCCCTATCCTATTTAGCTGTTAGGCATGCCATGCTTACAGGCATATAGTACATTCTATGTCCTTGTACTTTAACCAAGATGTCTGTGTTGGATGTGCTCACAGGCATGTCCCAGCTCTCCATTGCCTTCACCTATTTAGAAAAGTTTTAAGTTGTTAGCCAATCGGGTTTTAGTTTGGAGTGTGGGGTCTGGCTCCAGCCAGTGGAGATCAGACACAGTAGTAAGGACAACCACCAATGTGTAAGGGATAAATTTGTGTGTTTTCCTTTGTTCATTGTACTCTTAAGTCACAATGGCTAGCAAGGGTACCCTTCCTGCAGTCCAGAAAATAAGAACTGTGTTGCTGAAAAATCCTTTGTCTCACTGCTAATTTTTCTTTGCAGCACTGAGCATCTATTTCTAACACAGGCCTAGCCAAGTCTTTTTTTTTTTTTTTTTGAGACAGAGTCTTGCTCTGTTACTAGGCTAGAGTGCAGTGGCACGAACTTGACTCACTGCAACCTACAACTCCTGGGTTCAAGCAATTCTACTGCCTCAGACTCCCAAGTAGCTGGGACTACAGGCATGCACCACCATGCCCAGCTAATTTTTCTATTTTTTAGTAGAGACAGGGTTTCACCATGTTGGCCAGGATGGTCTCTGTCTCCTGACCTTATGGTCTCCCCACTTGGCCTCCCAAAGTGCTAGGATTACAGGCGTGAGCCACCACGCCTGGCCCAAACCAAGTCTTTTGTAATATGCTGGGTATCTTCTCTATGCTCCTGCCCCCATCCCACCCCAGACCAAGCCAAGCCACTCTCCACCCTCCTCCAACCTGCTCTCTGCCCCAGAGGCTGGGAACCTCTATGGATTGTGTCAAGGGAGGCCCATGCTTTGCAGCTTTGGTTGGATTTGGCCAGTGGGAAATCAAGGAGGACTGGGTAGGAGAGTCTCAGGCTGCAGCACAGTTCCAAGAAAGTTTCAGCAGACTGACAAGGAACCCTCAAACCCAGTGTACATTAGAGGGATTTGCATGTCCCTGGAATGGGGTTTCCCTGCAGCTGGAGGTCTGAATACAGTATCTTTATGGTCACCAAAAGAAGAAGTATAGATTATACCACTGCCAAGTCTTCCTGAATATTTTTAAGTTTTATTTTTATTTTTTCTTTGAGACAGAGTCATGCTCTGTTGCCCAGGCTGGAGTGAAGTGGTGTGATCTCAGCTCACTGCAGCCTCCTCCTCCCAGGTTCAAGTGATTCTTATGCCTCAGCCATACCAGTAGCTATGATTACAGGTGTGGGACACCACACCTGGCTAATTTTTATGGTTTTTTTTGTAGAGACAGGGTTTCACTATATTGGCCAAGCTGGTCTTGAATGCCTGGCCTCAAGTGGTTGGCAATTGTGAATAACAATTGTCTGCATGCTGGAAGAGGTTGAGAGTTTCAGAACTGAGTCCATGCTAAATGTCAGTTCCTAACTGGGATTGATGAAAGTGGTTTTTCTGCTTTACTCCTTCCCTGTCAGAAAGGTTTTTCTCTGTGGTTCCCTTAAGTTGAGGATGAGCAGACTATAACTGGGAAAGGAGAGAAGAGATCAGGGATTTTTAAGTTTGCTTAGAGAGCAAACCATATTGTGCCTCTTCATCTTGACCCAGGCTATTACAGATAGTTCCTAAACATTGCTGTTCACCAGATTATCTTAACAAACAATACTCAGCTAAATATTTACATTTAGGAATACTCCTAAAACAGATATTGCCAACCAGATACACGGCCTCAATCCTGACCAGATGAGAGAACAGTTAAACTCTCGTAGATGGGTAGTAAATTGAATACCAATCTATCAGCTTGTTTCAACACAGAGGTTTCAAATAGAAAGCCAATCATCTTATAAGCTGAACAGAAAAAAACACACATTACACCTGGCCTTTTAGAAAATGAAGCTGCAGAAACAAGAAACCTTTAGATTATTAGTATGGTACTCTAGCAGCACCTTTAAAGCAATCTTTACCTTAGTTTTTGAGTTGTTTTACCTTCAGCTCAATCTGAAAAGTTTTAATAAATGCTGAGCTTGTTCTTAGGGTGTGACCTGGCATTATTTCCAGTGACTAGTCGGGCATTATGCCTGCTGCATCCGCCCCCTGTGTACCCTTCTCCAGCCTTCAGATGCCCTCCACTGCAGGCCACCTCAGCAGATGGCGTTACTAATATAGCCTCCGTCTTGTTTATAAAGATTCTAAGTTGTCTAGTAAAGAAGTCTCCCTGAATCTTTTTTTAATTTTTAATTTTATTTTTTGAATGTTTATAGAAACTTTATTCACAATGGCCAAAACTTGGAAGAAATCAAGATGCCCTTCAATAGGTGAATGAATAGATAAAATGTGATATGTTCAAACAATACAATATCATTCAGTGCTATCAAGACACAAAAATACATGGAGAAACCCCAAATGCATATTACTAAGTGAAAGAAGCCAATGTGAAAAGGCTACATATTGTATGATTCCAACTGCATGACATTCTGGAAGAGACGAAACTAGGGAGACAGTAAGGGATTGATGAGGGAGAAATGAATAGGTGGAGCACAGATAATTTTTAGGGCAGTGAAAATACTCCACATGATATCGATATTGTAATGATACATACATGTCATTATACCTTTGTCCAAACCCATAGAATGTACATCAGGAGTGAATCCTAATGTAAATTATCAACTTTCTCTAGTTGTCCAGTCTCTCTGTCAACACAGTTTTTTGTCTAGACTGAGATGTGTAACAAGATTATTAGCTTTTTTCAGGTCTAACATTCTAAGTCAGGCCCAGTATGGTGGCTCACGTCTATAATCCAGGCATTCTGGGAGGCTGCGGCAGGAGGCTCACTCAAGGCCAGGTGTTCAAAACCAGCCTCCTGGGCAATAGAACAAGGGCCTGTTCTCGAAAAAAGAAAAAAGATTCTAAGTCAATGAGTTTCAGTGGGCAGAACCCCACCATAGGAGGTGTTTGGAGTTTCTTAAATGATAGGGTGTTTAGGGAGTCACCATGGCTGGAGGGCTCTAACGGCGTTCTAGAAATTGAGGCCCATGATGCTAGAAGCCCTGCAGAGAATAAATAATGATCTCCTTATGCCACTCCAACCATTCTGGCAGGTGAAGAACCTGTTTACAACTACTTGAGTCCAGACCTTAACTTCCCCTACTCACTCACCCAATTTTAATATACTCAGAATTGTCCAGGAATGTAATCATATTGTAAGTCAAAGGGAGATGGTACTTTGAGGGGTTCTTTTGGTGCTTAACCAGAAGTTGTTCACAGTTTGGATATTACAAAGTTGCTCCTAGTACAGCAAAATCTATTTAATAAGTGGGTTCAGATCCCCTCACAACTCTGATTTTAGCTGGGGCTTAGAGAAAAGAGCAAAGCCAGCAGGAAAAGGCAGGCCACTCCTGCAGGGCCACTCCTCTGGGTCCCTACAGGTCTCTGCAGATCAAACCAAGAAAATGGGCGCCGGGTAACCAGAAACTGCAGGAATCTTTACCTCTGGTCCTGGGAATCCCAGCCAGCCTCAAAACCTCAATTTCTTTCTTTCTTTCTCTTTTCTTTTCTTTTCTTTCTTTCTTTCTTCTTTCTTTCCACACAGTCTCGCTCTATCACCAGGCTGGGATGCAGTGGACCATCTCAGCTCACTGCAACCTCTGCCTCCTGGGTTCAAGGGATTCTCCTTCCTCAGTCTCCAGAGTAGCTGGGATTACAGACATGAGCCACCACGCCCAGCTAATTTTTGTATTTTTAGTAGAGACAGGGTTTCACCATGTTGGCCAGGATGGTCTTGATTTCTTGACCTCGTGATCCACCTGCCTCAGTCTCCCAAAGTGCTGAGATTACAGGCGTGAGCCACCTCTCCTGGCCAAGACCTCAATTTCTTCACCCAGCTGTGTAAGCAGAGTGGACAATTGCCACCAGGTGGCGCAACGCCACAATTGGGACCCCACCAGATTGGCTCTGCCCCTCCCAGCCCCCTGGGGGAGCCAACTAACCCCAGCATTTCATCGACTTTGCAATAACGCCCCCCCACCCTGATTGAGTATTTTGAACCGCACTTACCAATCTTTAGTAGATCTTTACTGTTTTTGAGTAGTAAATTCAATAAACTTTATGGGTCCATTTTTGTAACTACTGCATTCTGGGTACAAGCTTCTGATTCTTTTGTGTGTGTGTGTGAGACGCAGTTTCACTCTTGTTTCCCAGGCTGAAGTGCAATGGCACGATCTCAGCTCACTGCAACCTCTGCTCCCCGGTTTCAAGCGAGTCTCCTGCCTCAGCCTCCTGAGTAGCTGGTATTACAGGCATGTGTCACCATGCCCGGCTAATGTATTTTTTTAGTAGAGACAGGGTTTCTTCATGTCGGGCTGGTCTCAAACTCTTGACCTCAGGAGATCTGCCCACCTCAGCCTCCAAAGGTGCTGGGATTACAGGCATGAGCCACCACGCCGGCCACAAGCTTCTGAGTCTATTTCATGACTTTGAATGAAGTCATGCACAAGTATTTACATATTGATTTATGTATTGTTTTATATTTTCCTTGTATATACAGTTGGGGCAGGATATCAATTTTTAAAATTTATATATATATCGGTAGGTTACAATCACTATGATTTTTATTTCAGGTTGGTGAAAGGGTGTGACAAAATATTTGTCATAAAAAGAGGACTTGGGTCTTGACAGGGTTGAGAACCACAACACTGGAGGGATGTTGACCTCCCCAGTACTTCTCTGCTGACTTTGGTGGCACTTAGACAGTTCCTGGACCATCTCTGCCTTCCCTCCCCTCCCCCAACACTGGGGCTGCTTCTCTAGGCTCCTCTGCTCTGCTCTTCCCACACCCTCTCCCCAGCTCTCAGAGCAGAGTCCTGGGCAGCCTCTCCTGCTCCCTGATTCAATCCCAGTCATGGCATCAGCAACACCTCAGTCACTCCCGCCCCTCCCTACTCCCTGCCACACTGACTCCAACTAAGTCCTATAATCTTCAATCTCTTCTGGGCTGACTGTGGGAGGGAGGGTTCCTGCCTAGATTCCTGTCCTGTTCATAGGATCAGGTTCCAAAGCTCTTTTTATTTTTGGATGGAGTCTCACTCTGTCACCCAGGCTGGAGTGCAGTGGCATGATCTTGGCTCATTGCAACCTCCACCTCCCAGGTTCAAGCAATTCTTCTGCCTTAGCCCCCCTAGTAGCTGAGATGACAGGATTGTGCCACCAGGTTCTGCTAATTTTTGTATTTTTAGTAGAGACGGGGTTTCTCGGTGTTGGACAGGCTGGTCTCAAACTCCTGACCTCAGGTGATCCACCCACCTCAGCCTCCCAAAGGCTGGGATTACAGGCATGAGCCACCGTGTCCTGCCAATGCCGCCTCATTATACAGTCCCTGCTCCAGCCAGCTGAGCCCTGGGGGTTCCCTACCATGGTCCTGTCAAGGAAGAGGGGAACATCCTGTACCAGCTAACTTACTGTCTTCTCCTGAGGGCTCTTAATCCTGAACTCCTGGTTTCTGTCCTCACCACAGTATTCCAGGGCAGCCAGGTGCCAGTCCTCATAGCCATCTCTAACTCTTTATCTCTTACATTTAGCAAGGCACCAACTGAATTAAACTCACGAACATTTCAATGAATTTTTTAATAAAAATTTTAGATATGTATTACAAAAAGATTCCGATAATTCAGAACTAAAGCAATTTTGGGGCCTGTTTATTCCCCCCTGCACCCCCCGCCAAAAAACCCACTTCATTGAAACAAACACTTCAATTGCTTTTTATTTAATAATTCATATGTTCTTGTGTAGTCTGAGGGTGTCAATTTCTGTAACCTTCTAAGGTCACTGATTCTTTTATTATCTAAAGGAAGTGACTCAAGCCCCTAGGCCACTCGCTGTCGTTCCTGAGCATTTTCAGGGATGCTTGCACTCTCCTGATTTACAATCACTTTGATGTCTGAATCCCACTGAATCCCATAGTCTAGTAATTTTTTGTGTGCTTTCTAGCTTAAGGGCATTGTGATCTAGATTTGAATATTGCCTTTATTGCTCATAAAGCATTTTTTACTTGTAAATTTCCCTATGTACTTTAAATCAAAGCATATTCTGCAATTGTTGGATGTAGTGTGCTTTGCCTATGGTCTATTAAACCAAGTTTGTTAATCATGTTTAAATTTTCTGTATCCTTACTGATCTGGTCTGCATTCTCTATCAATTACAGAAAGGCATTAAGGTCACCTTCTGTGATTATGACTTTGTCCATTCCTACACGCGGTTCTGTCAGTTTTGCTTCATGTAGATTGAGACTATTATACATTTGGGCTGGGCACGGTGGCTCACGCCTATAACCCCAGCACTTTGGGAGGCCGAGGCGGGTGGATCACGAGGTCAAGAGATCGAGACCATCCTGGTCAACAAGGTGAAACCCCGTCTCTACTAAAAATACAAAAATTAGCTGGGCATGGTGGTGCGTGCCTGTAATCCCAGCTACTCGGGACGCTGAGGCAGGAGAATTGCCTAAACCCAGGAGGTGGAGGTTGTGGTGAGCCGAGATCGCGTCATTGCACTCCAGCCTGGGTAACAAGAGCGAAACTCCATCTCAAAAAAAAAAAGAGACTATTATGCATTTGGGGTTTTTTAATGTTCCTGGTGATTTGAACTTTTTATCGTTACACAGTAGTCTTTTTTCTTTTTAGCAATGGTTTTTGGCTTAAAGTGCATTTGACTGGGCCAGGTACAGTGGCTCACACTTTAAATCCCAGCACTTTGGGAAGCCTAGGCAGGCAAATCACCTGAGGTCAGGAGTTCCAGACTAGCCTGGCCAACATGGAGAAACCCCATCTCTACTAAAAATACAAAAATTAGCCAGGCATGGTGGCGGGTGCCTGTAATACCAGCTACCCAGGAGGCTGAGGCAGGAGAATCTCTTGAACCGGAGGTGGAGGTTGCAGTGAGCCAAGATGGCATCATTGTACTCCAGCCTGAGCAACGAGAGTGAAACTCTGTCTTAAAAAAAAAAGTCCACTTGACTAACATTTATATAGCTCACTAGCTTTCTTTTGTTGGCACTTATATAGTATATTTTTCTTTCATTCTTTTACTTTCAAGCTTTCTCTATATTTTGTTTTCCTTTTTCTTTTGGAGATGGGGTCTCTCTCTGTCACCCAGGCTGGAGTGCAGTGGTGCATCGTACCATGTTTTCCTTTTGACTAATTAGCATGTGAATTGCAGTTATATAGAATTTGTAATTTTCCATTATTCTTGCTTTCTTTAATACTCCCATTTAGTAAGATTTTTTGTTTTATTTTGTATTTTTGTGGGGAGTTTTTTTGGAGACGGGGTCTCTCTCTGTCACCCAGGCTACAGCACAGTGGCACGCTCTCAACTCACGGCAACTTTCACCACCAGGGTTCAAGCCATTCTCCTGCCTCAGCCTCCCATGCAGCTGGGATTACAGGCATGCACCACCACACCTGGCTAATTTTGTATTTTTAGTAGAGACAGGGTTTCGCCATGTTGGCCAGGCTGTTCCTGAACTGCTGACCCCAGGTGATACCCCCGCCTCAGCCTCCCAAGGTGCTGGGATTACAGGCATGAGCCATTGCAATGTTAAAATCAATATTAAAACATGAGCCTGAAACATGCACACATAGCTGGAATCCCAGGAGAAGGGAAGAAATATTTGAGGAAATAATGGCCAAGAATTTCTCAGAATTAAGGACAGCCATCAAACCACAGATCCAAGAAGCTTAGAGAGCATAAAGCAAGATAGACAAACACAGCATGCACACACACACACACACACACACTCACACACACACACGCACGCGTGCGCACAGTACTCCCTACACATTTTAAGTTCATATTGCTGAAAATAAAACAAAAAAGACATCTTGAAGGAGCCAGAGAAGAAAGAAACACATCCACAGAGGTCTTGGTTCCCCCACAATACCAAAATCCACACATTCCTAAGTCCCAGTGGAATCCACTGATAGGAAATGTGAGCCCTCCATCTAGGTGGGCCTCACATCCAGCCAATACCGTGTTTCACCATAACACATCCTGTGATGCCCTTCCCCTTCCTAAAATAGATAACCACCTTTAACTGACCATTTGCCCCAACCTATATAACCAGTCCCCATTCCTACGCCCCTTGCCTAACTCCCTTCTCAGACTTGGCCCGCTTGCACCCAAGCATGAAATAAAACGGCCTCGTTGCACACACAAAGCCTGCCTGGTGGTCTCTTTACCCGAGCAATGCAACTAACAAAATCTAATGCTGCTGCTCATCTGGCAGGAGGCCGAGCTCTGGTGATAATGTGAGCAATGGGCAGAAGCTGTAAATACAAATGAAGGCCACTGTTGGCCACTCACCTCCTGCTGTGTGACCTGGTTCCTAACAGTCTGCAGCAGTCTGGGGGTTGGGGACCCCTGCTTTAGCTGGTAAATTTGTTTCTCACACAATATGGGTTAGCAATTCTGAAACTACATTACGTGATAATGGTCAATATGTTAGGATTGAACAAATAAGGAAACATCATGAGAACCAGCTTTCTCCCTGTCAGAGGAAGAGTTCAAAACAGGTCAATGGAAGCCTACGATATGGAGCCTTCTGTCTTCTTTCACTTGGACTTATTGTTGCATGAATCAATAGTCTGCTCCTTCTTGTTGCCAAATGGTATTCCGCTGTGTGGATGTAATGCGGTTTCTTTATCAACTCACCCGTTGAGGGACATCTGGGTCGTTTCCAGATTGGGTGATAAAGCTGCTAGAAACATTTCCCTCCGGAATATACATGGAATTTGGTTTCCACCTGTTGTCAGTATGGTCTTCCCCTCCCCCCTCACCCCCCAATCTCAAATCGTTTCCTGGCCTTTCCTTGCCTTTCTTGTTCTCTTAGCACAGACTTTATGTTTCTGCCTGGGTCTGTCTGGCGTTTCCTCATGATCAAACCTGGGTCTTGTTTTCTCGCAGGGGTACCCTGGGAATGGAGCTGTGCTGTCCTCAGAGCCGCACGTGGGAGGACTGATTTTGTTGTCTGCCAGATTTTTCTACCATAACATTATCATTTCTCCCTCCGTAATTCAGTAGATTTTTCCAAAAATATGTCCCAAGATTGCATTCATCAAACCTCCTCTATTCACTAGCTTTAGCCTCTATAGAAAACTTCTGCCTGAATCAGCTGCAACTCTGATGGTGCCAAATGTGATTTTTTTCGGTGTTTTTTTGTTTGTTTGTTTTTGAGGCAGGATCTCACTCTGTCACCCAGGCTGGGGTGCAGTGGCATGATCATAGTTCAGTGTGACCTCCTCCTCCCGGGCTCAGGTGATCCTCCCACTTCAGCCTCCCAAGTAGCTGGGACCACAGGCGCACACCACTACAACCTGCTAATTTTCATGGAGACTGGGTCTTGCTGTGTTTCTCAGGCTGGTCTTGAACTTTATGCTCAAGTGCTCCATCCACTTTGGACCCCCAAAATGTTGGAATTACAGGTGTGAGCCATTGCGCCCTGGCAAATGGTGATTTCCTACTTCCATTATCCCTTCTACTATGAACAGTGGGCATTCTACTGTAAAGAAGAGGTTCCCCCCACCATCAGCATGACTCATAGGTTCCAATTTTAATCAAGAGTTTGTAACTCATTACTGTCATTATCTGCTTTGATATTCAAACAGTCCCAAATTTGGCCAGTGGGAGCACCTTCAGGCTGTCTTCTGCATTCTTTTGACTTGTCAGCTTCATTCTTAGAGCACTTCCTTCCTTTCTGGCAAACAAGAGGTTCCACTCTTACCTTGTACTTTTCCTGCCCCAGTCTTGGAATCAGCCATTTCTCCAAGAAATCCTGGTTCTTTAGAGTGGAAGATGGTTTTAGAAAACCAACCTACACACTTAGTGCTCTTCTTCCTGCTGTGGTGTCACTGCTTCTAGGCCCTCTCAATGAACAGTTAGAAAAACGTGCGTGCACGCGCGCACGCGCGCGCGCGCACACACACACACACACACACATCCATACATGCACACACAGGGCACACACAGGTTTTGTTTTTTTTTTTTGAGATGGAGTCTCACTCTGTGGCCCAGGTTGGAGGGCAGTGGCACGATCTTGGCTCACTGCAAACTCTGCCATCTGGGGTTCAAGTGATTCTCTTGCCTCAGCCTCCCAATCGCTGGGATTACAGGTGCCTGCCACTGCACCTGGCTAATTTTTGTAGTTTTTAGTAGAGATAGGGTTTCACCTTCTTGGCCAGGCTGGTCTTGAACTCCTGACCTCGTGATACACTCACGAACTTTATGCTCCCAAAGTGCTGGGATTACAGGCGTGAGCCACCGTGCCTGGCCACACACACATTTTTATGCACTCATGGAACTATAACTATATATCTTCATCTACCTATCTTTTTTTTTTGGAGACAGAGTCTCATTCCATTGCCAGGCACCAGGTTGGAGTGCAGTGGCACGATCTCGGCTCACTGCAACCTCCTCCTCCTGATTTCAAGCAATTCCCGTCTCAGCCTCTGGAGTAGCTGGTACTACATGCGCATACCACCACGCCCAACTAAGTTTTGTATTTTTTTTAGTAGAGATGGGGTTTCACCATGTTGGCCAGGATGGTCTCTATCTCTTGACCTCGTGATACACCCACCTCAGTCTCCCAAAGTGCTGAGATTACAGGTGTGAGCCACCGCGCCCGGCTCTCTCTCTTTATGTATTTTAAACTGAGTTCATTTTGCTATCTCCAATTTCAGTCTACCACCTCTGGGTTCTTTCTAGTCTTCCCAATCTTGCCATGCTTATAAGAACCTTCTCCCACAGTGAGAAACCTGGCTACCATTATCCTCAATATGTTTACTCATTGGCTCATGTAACCACTGGCTGAATCCCTCACCTGCCACCGCCCCTACTGAGCAAGCCCTCTGTCTTTGAGAAGCTCTCGGATCTGCCTCATCCTTCATACCTGGGCATCCTGTGATCTCAGAGCCTAATGGGCTCACCTTTGTCTTCTTCCCTGCTTGCTGCCGTACTGCAGGCAGTAAGGCAACTCCTCATGGGAAATTCAAAGGGCTACAATGGGGTTGGAAGGCTGCAGGTTGTGTTATTGACATTCACTTTTCCATAGGGTGAAGGTCCTGGGGTGAAGAGGACTCAGGGGCCTGGGGTGATGAGGACTCAGAGGAATGATTGAAATGTAAAAAGCTGTATATATTTAATGTATACAACTTGATGAGTGTGGGGATGAGTATACACCTGTGAAGCCAACTCTACTACCTTCAAGGCCATACACAAACCCATCACCTCCTGAATTTTCCTCCTGCCCTATTATTGTGTGTGTGTGTGTGTGTGTGTGTGTGTGTAAATAATATTCAATATATTCAATGTCTACCCTCTTGGGAATTTTTTTCTTTTGAGACAGAGTCCTGCTCTGTTACCCAGGCTGGAGTGCAGTGGCATGATCTCAGCTCACTGCAACCTCTGCCTCCTGGGTTCAAGCGATTCTGCCTCAGCCTCCCAAGTAGCTGGGACTACAGGCGTATGCCACAAATACCTGGCTAATTTTCTCATATTTTTAGTAGGGACAGGGTTTCACCGTGTTAGCCAAGATGGTCTCAGTCTCCTGACTTGGTGATCCACCTGCCTTGGCCTCCCTAAGTGCTAGGATTATAGGCGTGAGCCACCACGCCCAGCCTGGGAAATTTTAACTGTGTAACACAGCATTGTTAGTGGCAGGCATAATGGCGCATATTAGGTCTCTACAACTCATTCATCTATCCTACAACTGAAACTGTACTCTTTAACTATCATCTCATCTTCACCCGACCCAGCCCCTGGCAACCAGGTTTACACTCTGCTTCTATGAGTTTGACTATTTTCTTTTCTTTGAGATAGGGTCTCTCTCTGTCACCCAGGCTGGAGTACAGTGTGGCACAATCATGACTCACTGCAGCCTCGACCTCCTGGCCTCAAGCAATCCTGCCTTAGCCCAGGAACACAGGCTCTTTTAATTTTTATTAGTTTTTTTTGTAGAGATGGGGTCTCACTATGCTGCTGAGGCTACCCTTGAACTCCTGGTTCAAATGATCCTTCCGCCTTGGCTCCCAAAAGTATTGGGATTACAGATATGGGCCACCCTACCTGGCCAACCATTTTTGATTCCATGTATAAGTGACATCACACAATATTTGTCTTTTTGTGTCTGCTTTATTTCACTTAGCATAATATCCACCAGGTCCATGCACGTTGTTGCCTATGGCAGGATTTCCTTCCTTCCTCCCTCCTTCCTTCCTCCCTCCCTCCCTTCCTTCCTCCTCCTTCCCTTCTTCCCTTTCTTTCTTTTTCTTTTGAAACAGGATCTTGCCCTGTTGCCCAGGCTGGAGCGCAATGATGGGATTACAGCTCACCGCAGCTTTGCTCTCCCAGGCTCAAGTGATCCTCTTGCCTCAGCCTCTCAGGTAGCTGGGGCTACAGGCGCATGCCAGTACCCCTGGCCTTTTTTTTTTTTTTTTTTCTTTAATTTTTAGTAGAGACAAGGTCTCACTATGTTGCCCAGGCTGATCTCAAACTCCTGAGCTCAAACAGTTCTCCCACAGCCTCTGAATGTGTTGGGATTACAGGTGTGAGCCATTGAACAGAGCCAATTTCTTTCTTTTTTAAGACTGAATTGTCAACTGAAAAATTTTTAAACGCCCTCTTTTCTATTTGTAGATGTATCCTATTCTCATGGGATAATCCTTCAAATCAGCCTGAAGAACTAAACAATGGTGAGCCCAGCTGGGCTTTTCTGTCTCTAATGAGACAGTGCTATGAATGACAGGTTTTTCTTGAATTGTTTTCTTCTACTCTTGAAGGGTTTTCTTGAATTGTGTCCCTGAGCTGATTACTCACTCCCTCAGACTGCTCTTCTCCAATTTGGGGAGGGGAAGGGAATAATTTGTAAGAACTCTCCACAATTTTATTAACTAGCATTTTTTTCCCTATTACCAGGCTATCTCCAGATTTTTGTGTTCCCTACCCTTAGGCCACCTAACTTAACCATTTTCTTTGTTAGGTTATCAATAGTTAATCTTTTGTTATTTAAAAAATGATATACTTAATGTGCATGGCTGGGGAGTCATTCTATGATACAGCTTCTTTGCACAGGTTGCTAATCGTCCATCAATAGTCCTCATCCTTAAATAATAAATAATTCTCCAGTTCTAGGTGGGCTCATGGCCACTCAGTGAAAAGTTACATTTCCCAGCTTCCCTTGTACCTGGGTGTGGCCACTTGTCTGAATTCCGACCAATGGGATGTGAGCAAAACTGATTATGCCATTTTCGCATCATAGCCTTAAAAGGAATGAGAGTGCACTCCCCTTTCTTTTTCCTCTTCTCACTGGCCAGGACGCAGACATGATGGCAGGAGCTGGAGCAGCCACCTTAGGACCCAGCGCTTAAAGTCTCATGGTGAGAATGGCAGAGATACTGTATCCACTCTGGACTGCTGACCTTTGAACTATTATGTAAGAGAAAATCAAAATTCTATTTTAAGTCACAATATTTTGGGGTCTCAGACTACCTGGACTACATCTTAAGTAGTATAGCTTCATGCCACTACCTTCACCCAGAAGCCTGCACCTCCTCTTTATTTGCACATAGTTATGTTTTCTTATTTAATATTATATGTCCATGTTTTCACAAAGTAAAATGTTTAGTGATCCAACTAATTTTTTCCAAAGAACCAGCTTATGGATATATTTTGGTGTGCTTAGTGTTTTGAGATTATTTTTGCTACATTTGAATGAATTTTAAGCCATTTATAGAATTATGGGGTCACACACTTTTCTTCTCAACATTCTTTCTCCATTGTTTCCTATGCCATCTAAAATTGCAGGAAAGAGGTCTGAGGCCAGTCTCCTTTTTTCCCCTGGGTAGACTGTCAGCTTCTTCTATATGGATGTTTGTAGTATAATGCTTTTTTTTTTTTTAAAGTACTGGAAACCTGCTAGACAAATTCTTCTTTTTTTTATTTTTCTTTCTCTGTCACCCAGGCTGGAGTACAGTGGCATGATCTCAGCTCAGTGCAGCCTCCATCTCCCAGGTTCAAGCCATTCTCCTGCCTCAATCTCCTGAGTAGCTGGGACTTCAGGTGCTTGCCACCACACCTGGCTAATTTTTGTATTGTTTGTAGAGATAGGGTTTCGTCTTGTTGGCCAGGCTAGTCTCAAACTGGCCACAAGTGATCTGCCCACCTCAGCCTCCCAAAGTGCTGGGATTACATGAGTGAGCCTCCACACCCAGCCCTGCTAGACAAATCCTAAAAGACTAGTAACACTTAGCTAATGCATTCTTTATCCCTAAGATTTAGGAACTTCACAAGAGCTAGACTGGTCTCAGTGGCTTCTTGACTCACTTTATCTGCAATATAGTGAATTCTGTTCTTTTGTCAAATCAGGTCTTTTTTATTTGTTTGTTTGTTTGTTTTAAGAATGGCTCTTTCTTTTTATGTTTTTTTATTTTATTTTTTGAATTTCATTTGTTCCCTAATCACCAAGGACTCAGTCTGTGTGTTGGATCAACATAACTATTTTCTATATCTGTTATTTCATCTCTCTTCCCAGCTTTATTGTATTATTTGTTTTTTTTTTTACAATGGAGTCTTGCTCTGTCACCCTGGCTGGAGTGCAGTGGCACAATCTTGCCTCACTGCAACCTCCACTTCCTGGGTTCAAGCGATTCTCCTGCCTCAGCCTCCTGAGTAGCTGGGACTACAAGGTGTGTGCCACCATGTCTGGCTAACTTTCGTATTTTTAGTAGAGAGGGTTTCGCCACATTGGTTAGGCTGGTCTTGAACTCCTGACCTCAGGTGATCTGCTTGCCTTGGCCTCCCAAAGTGCTAGGATTACAGGTGTCAGCCATTGTGCCCGGCCGACTTCCAGATCTTTTAGTGTCTTTTTCTTGTTTCTTTACTTACCTCTTTTGGTTCCCATTTCATCGTCTTATCTTATTTTGGTATCTCTATATTTCTTTCAGAGGGCCCATACTATATTTAGTTTTCTTGAAAGTGCAAAGAAGAGCTTTATCAAATATTTTCCTCTACTTCCTGGGATCATGATGCTTTTGATATGCAGTCGTCATGTGTATTTTCCTCCTGGCATTTTTTGGGGGAGAGAAGAGTAGTATCTCACAGAGATCCTGTGATAGAGCTTTACTAAGAAATCGTGACTATTTTAATTTAAAAAAAATGTTTTCCTTGAATCCAGTAACCCTTTAGATAGAGCCTCTATTTCACAGGAAATGAGCAGTAGAGAATCAAGCTAAACATCACCCCATGGAAGCAACCAGACAAACCTAGAAGGTAGGGCATGCTGTAGGACAACTCATTCAATTGCTTTCACTAATAAGGGTCCTAAAAAGGGAAATATATCAGATTAAAATAAGCTAAGGGAACATGTTTGGTCCTGGATTGGGTACTGATTTGGATAAACCAGCTATAGTAATAATTTTGGTTAACTGGAGAAAGTATAATATGGTCTGAAAATTAGGTAAGAGGAAAATACACAAAGGCAGAGAGTGTCAACTAAATGAAGCAGGTTATTAAAAAGTTATAAAACAATATTTAACGTATGATCTCATCACACACTCCTCCAGGAGGAAGGACTATGCTGAGTTTTATTAAACACTTGCTGTATTGCTGGGCATGGTGGCACACGCCTGTAATCCCAGCACTTTGGGAAGCAGAGAAGGGTGGATTGCTTGAGGTCAGAAGTTCAAGATCAGCCTGACCAACATGGTGAAACCCCATCTCTACTAAAAAATACAAAAATTAGCCGAGTGTGTTGGCAGGCTCCTACAATCCCAGCTACTCGGGAGGCTGAGGCAAGAGAGTCACGTGAACCCGGGAAGCAGAGGTTGCAGTGAGCTGAGATCGTACCACTGCACTCCAGCCTGCGTGACAGATCATGACTCTGTCTCAAAACAACAAACAAAAACCTTGCTGTATTTTCCAATATTCTTCAAAGCTTTGCACTGCTTATGTAATAATAACGTGTTTTAAATAGTGACATAGATTTAAATGGGACAGACTTACCACAAAGGATAATGAAACTTAAGCTTCAGGGCCTCTAAATCATATGGGTCTCATGAGGCCCTAGGAGGACCCTAGCAAGTTTATATCATACTTTTGGGGAGGTTTTAATTTTATTTGTTTGTTTGTTTGAGACGGAGTTTTGCTCTTGTTACCCAGGCTGGAGTGCAACGGCATGACCTGGGCTCACCACAACCTCCGCCTCCTGGGTTCAGGCAATTCTCCTGCCTCAGCCTCCTGAGTTGCTGGGATTACAGGCACGTGCCACCATGCCCAGCTAATTTTTTGTATTTTTAGTAGGGACGGGGATTTCACCATGTTGACCAGGATGGTCTCGATCTCTTGACCTCGTGATCCACCCACCTCGGCCTCCCAAAGTGCTGGGATTACAGGCGTGAGCCACCTCGCCCGGCTTAATTTTGTTTAAGTTCTAGTGTCTTTTCACTGTGGTGACATACACAACATAAAACATACCATTTTAACTATTTTAAGTGTACAGTTCAGTGGCATTCAGTACATTCCCACTGTTTTGCATCCATCACCACCTTCCATCTCCAGAACTTTTTCATCTTCCCTAAATAAAACTCTGCACCCATTAAACAATAACTCCCTATGATCCCCTCCATCCAGTCTTTTTATTTATTTATTTTTTATTTTATTTTATTTTATTTTATTTTTGAGACGGAGTTTCGCTCTTGTTACCCAGGCTGGAGTGCAATGGCGCGATCTAGGCTCACCGCAACCTCCGCCTCCTGGGTTAAGGCAATTCTCCCGCCTCAGCCTCCTGAGTAGCTGGGATTACAGGCACACGCCACCGTGCCCAGCTAATTTTTTATATATTTAGTAGAGACAGGGTTTCACCTTGTTGACCAGGATGGTCTCGATCTCTTGACCTTGTGATCCACCCGCCTCGTCCTCCCAAAGTGCTGGGATTACAGGTGTGAGCCACTGCACCCAGCCCCAGGCTTTTTATTTTTAAGAGTTTCTAAAATTTTACAAACTCTTAGCTTTACAAAACCTGGGTCCAGCCCCAACTGACAACCAGATGTCCCCATAATTCCTGGGCAAGTTATGAAATGACACCTTGTCCTGCCAAAGTGGCTTTAGCCTCAGACCAAAGGACAGTCAGCACGGTTAAGGTGGTCACCAAAGTTTTCATCACTAAACGTGCAAACAGTAGTATTTGTGTCAGCATCAATATTACTGAATATGCAAGGAGGAAAAAGCAATTTTTTTGTCAAGTTATTGGAACCTACATTTACATAACTTTCCCCAGAAGCTACAAGTTTGTTATTCCTACAGTCCTAATTTCCTGTAAATTAACTGTATTTTCTTCATTGCTTAAAATTCTTGGTAAATAATTTTACAACTTTTCCAGAAGGTAGTCACATGGCCTTACCTAGCTGCAAGGGAGGCCAGGAAATGTAATCTTTCTTATAGGAGACTTGTACCCAAATAATCATTAAGCATTCTATCACTAAAAAAAGAAAAAAATAAAACAGAATTGGCTAGGCATGGTGGCTCACACCTGTAATCCCAGCACTTTGGGAGGCCAAATGGAGCTGATCACTTGAGGACAGGATTTCGAGACTAGCCATTAGCAGAGATGGTGAAATCCCATCTCTACTAAAAATACAAAAATTAGCCAGGCATGGTGGTTCATGCCTGTAATTCCAGCTACTTGGGAGGCTGAGGCAGGAGAATCTCTTAAACCCAGGAGATGGAGGTTGCAGTGAGCCAAGATCATGCCACTACACTCCAGCCTGGGCCAGAGTGAGACCTTGTCTCAAAAAAAAAAAAAAAAAAAAAAAAAAAAATTGAATGGGTCTTAGGACAGGCAACTAATAGACAATTAAGCATCTCTCACATAGTTTCTAAAAAGATACAATATGCTTGTTTTTGAGGTTTGGTGAGGGGAGTAGGAAGGATTGCGCATCTTTTTTTTTTTTAATAGAGACAGGGTCTCATTCTGCTGTGCAGGCTGGAGTACAGTGGTGAGATCACAGCTCACTGTAGCCTTGAACTCCTGTCCTCAAGCGATCCTCCCGGGAGCCTCAGCTCCTCAAAGCACTAGAATTACAGGTGTGAGCACCTTAAAGCACCATTTACATAACTGCTTAGCATCTTGTTTAGAGTGAAAAATTCACTTGCTCACAATCAGCTTTCTAGATTGGGCGCTCAAGGCTTCTTCCTCTGAGGATTGATGAACACCATAGAAGTGGGCTTAACAGACTTGCATGGAAAAGAGAAGTCATCTCCCCAACTGACTCTTGGGTGTCTCAATGGCCAAGTATATGCAAACCATGTATCTAAACCAGTGAGCTTTACTGTTGTGGTTAAGCTTTAACTGTGAACAGCAACATATCAATTTACTAATTACTATGCTTTTGTGCTGTGTGTTCCCTTTCTAGGTTATTTCCAGGGAAATGCAAACCACAGGGCATGGTCTCTGATCCAATCCTTAGAGAATGTGACCATGAGGACACTTTTCCTACCTGGTAAACAAAAGATAATGAGAAAAGTGAGATCGGAAGTTGTTTCACTGACCCAGGAGTTGTAACAGGTGCTTGAGCAGGGGTGTGATCTGAACGACTAGAGGGAAGGACTGATGGAATTGAGTGGGGTGAGCCTCTAGGCCCTTTAGGCCTCTCCCTGACTTTGTGATGAAATACAAAAGTCAGCCTCCATGCTTGTCCTTTGTGTTTAATGGTTGTCAAACTCCTTTTCTATATTTGTCACATTTGACCTTGATGGTTAATTCATTATGTAATAAATTCAGAATTCAGTTCAAATTAGGAAACAGTTTCTCCCAGGAATGGCCTTGAATAGTGTCAGCCTGCTTGGTTCTTTCCCCCTGACCTAGCAGGCTGACACTATTCAAGGCCATTCCTGGGGGTTCTTTCCCCCTGACCTAGCCCATGATTTGGGCTCTTTCCTCCTGGGCTCAGGTGTGAGGGACGCTGTCACTCTTCAAGAGGGGAAACGGCTTGTGGACCTAGCAGAGCTGCTCGTCCCGGGTTCTATTCCTCCCAGCCAGCACCCTGACAAATCCAGCCTCTGGACAGGAAATGAATTGCTTCTCTTGCTTCTTCAGTTTGATCTCCGAAGGGAAATAAGTCCTGCAGAAGTGACCAGCCTGCCGTGGCGGAACACAGAGCAGGCACCAACTCTCCTGCATCTACTTCCATCACCTGCAGATCCACTGGGGTGTCGGGGGCTCACATGATGCAAAGGTTAGGAAGACGGCACTTTCAATGGACACGCAGCTTTTAAAGTTGTGTGAGATAGGTTGCATTCAGAGTAAGGAAGGGTTAAAAGGCAGGAAAGGCATTTTCCTCTTAGCAGTGGAAGGAGCTTCCTGACAGCCCTCCTTCCTTGCTTTCTGCCTGGCTTACTGCTTTCTCAGCAAGTTGTGGGAGAACTATGTCCTGGGGTTCCGCAAAGGGCTGGAGAATGTCAGGGTGTGGATAAGTCACACAAGCCCTCTGGAGGAAAAGGGAGGCTCCTCTGTACTTCCCCTTCCTGGAGGTCTGTCCTGGTTTTTCATGATGTCATCCATTCATCATTGTGAGCTGACTGGCGGTCCAGGGCTTGGCCAGCTGCCAAGGCCAGGAGGGGAGAAAGAGATCTCAGGACAAGTGTGCAGCAGGCCCCTGAGCATGAGTAGAAATGTCATCAGTTCCACATAGAAAGACTTGGAGGGAATCAAAGAAGACAGTAAAAGTCACACGATCCTATCCAACCTTCCCTTCCCTGAATGCCTGGGAAGAATTCAGGGGCCTCTTGCCTGTGGATGGGGAACCGAACCCTGGAGTGGGCCTAGGTGTGGAGGAGGGACTGCTCTGCCCGATGCTTCATTCTCCAGAATTCAGCCTGGTTCCTGACTCCGCCGTGTTTGAAAGCAACCTCGTCCGGCTACTCTTGGGTAGTGCAGAACAGCACTTTTTGATTCTTCTAAACCTGTTCCCATGAGACGACTGAGAGAGCCCATCCCTGAAACTGGGGCAGAGTGAGACTGAGGCAAGGAGAAGCCAGTGGATCTGGAATGCAAGGCCATCCCCATTGACCTGGGCCCTCCAGAGCCCCAGACAGGGCTTCTACCAACAGCTGTCACCTGGGGAGAAAGGTCAGGGGTCCTCTGCTCTAAGTGGGAAATTTGGTATTCAAATCCCCCAGTTTATTTCAGCATCCAGGCTGTCACCTGAAGCAGATGAACAAAAGAGGCAGTGAAAAGAGATGCTTCTTTTATTATTATTATTACACTTTAAGTTCTGGGGTACATGTGCAGATAGTGCAGGTTTGTTACATAGGTATACACGTGCCAAGGTGGTTTTCTTTATCCATCCCCCCATCGTCTACTTTAGGTATTTCTCCTAATGCTATCCCTCCCCAATCCCCCCACCGCTGCTATCCCTCCTGTTTCCCCCACCCCCTGACAGGCCCCAGTGTGTGATGTTCCCCTCCCTGTGTCCATGTGTTCTTGTTGTTCAACAGCCACTAATGAATGAGAACATGCAGTGTTTGGTTTTCTGTTCTTGTGTCAGTCTGCTGAGAATGATAGTTTCCAGCTTCATCCACGTCCCTGCAAAGGACCTGAACTCATCCTCTTTCTTAAGGACAAAAATGTGCTTTGGAGAAAGAACAGCACCTGGGAACCCAGAGAGAGTTGCTCTCAGATTCCAGTCCTCTCCCTTCTCCTTGGGAGGTGACTGTGCAAGGAGTGACCTCCTCCGTGCCCTGCCTGCCCCTCCCCAACATCCTACTCATGGCCAATGTCAAATGGCACCAGGGGCAGAGCCAGACTGCCCAGCCTAAATCTGGCTCCTTTAATGTAAAAGGGTTGAACTGGGCCGGGCGCGGTGGCTCACGCCTGTAATCCCAGCACTTTGGGAGGCCGAGGCGGGTGGATCACGAGGTCAAGAGATCGAGACCATACTGGTCAGCATGGTGAAACCCCGTCTCTACTAAAAATACAAAAACTTAGCTGGGCACTGTGGCGCGTGCCTGTAATCCCAGCTACTCGGGAGGCTGAGGCAGGAGAATTGCCTGAACCCAGGAGGCGGAGGTTGCGGTGAGCCGAGATCGCGCCATTGCACTCCAGCCTGGGTAACAAGAGCGAAACTCCGTCTCAAAAAAAAAAAAAAAAAAGGGTTGAACTGACCTGAAGATGAAGTGCAAATACAGCAAGCGAAGTACCTGGTCTAACAGGCACTGGATGCACGTTTGTCTCCTTGCCTGGGCTCTCCTCTGGTTAGATGGAAGTGAGAATAAACAGCACTTTGAAGTTAGAGAGGACCTTCCAGTTCAGTGAAGGTGCGGGAGATAATAGGGCCCCTCAAGGAAGGACCAAGAGGATACATTTTTCAAAGAAGGCCAGGAAACAGTCCAGGGAGGACCGGCAGAAATGTGACAGATGCCAGGGAACTCCTGGGTTATAATTCCTGTGGGCAATTGTTAATAGCAGGTCGTTGACATACTGTTTAAATACTAGTAGTTGTTTAACCAGTATAGTGGTGCTCAACAAGAATTGATTTTTGGTTCCTACTGCCAGGGAACATTTGACAATGTCTGGAGACATTTTTCATTGTCACAGGTTGGCTGGGAGTGCTGCTAGAACTAGTGGGCAGTGGTCAAGGATGTTACTAAGAATTCTCTAGTGTGCAGGGAAGTATCTGGCCCTCAGCAAAGAATATCCAACCTAAAATATTAATAGTGTGGAGGTTGAGAAACCCTGGGCTGAAACAGACTTCGGCTTTTGCCAAATGCTCAACTTGTGCCTGGGGGCTGTGTTGCAGGTCAAAGCGGGCAGGAATTGGAGAGAGATCCACACAGCCTCCAACACCACAGCCCTAGGGGTGACCTCCTCCATGCCCTGCCTACCCCTCCCCAACATCCTACTCATGGCCAATGTCAAATGGCACCAGGGGCAGAGCCAGACATGGAACAGACCATCCACAGCCCCCAACATCTTCCTGAAGAGGTGAGCAATGCAGATGGGAATGGAGGACAAGAGGGGTGAGGGGTGGCTGCAAAGCAGAGGTTGCTTGACTACTAAACTCAAGAAAAAGATAGAGCTGTCATCAGCAGTGACATTAAATTTTTTTAGACAACAGTAACCTAAGACAGGTGGTGCACTGGAAGGACAGGCCAAGTGGGACAAAGGGAGGCATCATGTGGACAGGAGTGAGGGCCAGTCTACCTGCCCACTTTCTTTCTTGCTGCACAGACCCTACTGAATTCATAGGAAATCTCTCAGCATTTGGCCCAAGGGCAAGGAGGCAGTGAGGTCCGGCAGATGGAGCACTGGTTGGGAGAGGGAGATTATTTCTAGTTCTTGGTATTCAACTAACTGGACTCAATTTTTAAAATCACAAGTTATTTGCTGCTTCTCAGTTTTTCTTTTTCTTTTCTTTCTTTCTTTCTTTTTTCTTTTCTTTTCTTTTTTTTTTTTGAGACTGAGTCTCAGGCTGGAGTGCAATTGGTGGGATCTCGGCTCACTGCAACATCAGCCTCCCAGGTTCAAGCGATTCTCCTGCCTCATCCTCTCGAGTAGCTGGGATTACAGGTGCCTGCCACCACGTGCAGCTAATTTTTGTATTTTTAATAGAGTCAGGGTTTCACCATTTTGGCCAGGCTGGTCTCGAACTCCTGATGCCAGGTGATCCACCCACCTCAGCCTCCCAAAGTGCTGGGATTACAGGCATGAGCGACTGCACCTGGCCAGTTTTTCTATCAGTAAAATAAATGGGACTAAGTCTCACTTAGAACTCTAGCATGTAGTGACATCACGCTTGTCTGGGATGAAGTAGCCTTTTTTTAATCTTTGGGCCTCTTTAAATAATCTGTAGGATGTCTCACGAATCTCTAGATATTCCCAGAAGTCCAGGAAAACCCTTCATTTCTCCATGCTGCCTCAGTGACGCATCTCTCCATGATGTTCTTGGTGTACATGTAGCAAGTACAGACCAGTCTCAGCTGACTCATATTAGGTCCAAAGCCCGCTCCTTGAACTTGAACTCCCTTGGGAAGAGTAACTGTGGCATTAAACTCAATAAATGCATAACCCAGACAGTGGGGCAAGCTCCTTTGGTGTTTTCAAGAAATAAATTGCAAAATCCTATGACTCCAGCCACTTTACCTCCTAGGCTGTCTCTCTCACATAGAGTCTAGGACTCACGAGAATATGGCAGGGTGGGTGGAAGTTACAATACAAATTCCAGGGCCACACCCGACTCCTACTGAATCGGAATCTTTAGTGGTGTCTTCAGGCATCTGCATTTTAAACAAGCTCCGGAGGCATATTTGGTCTCCCCGGCATTTGAGCAGCCCTGTGTGAAAGCACCCTCTTTCCTATCACCAAAAGCTTTAGTGCTAAAGGAGACCTTCCTCATTTTGATGAAGACAGGGTCAGATCAGATGTAATAGGGCTGTTAATGTGTGTCTTCCCTGGTGGCTTCAGGATTTTCCCACTGAAGTTTGTGGAGCTCCAGGTATGTGACCGTCATCAATGTATACTGCAATTGAGGACAGTCACTGAGAAGATTTATTACCTAAAGCTCCACCCTGACCATCCTGAGACTGTCTTCCACTTCTGGATCCGACTGACTCACATTCTGCAAAAGGGGCTGTCCATCACCACCAAAGACCCTAGGATTCTTGTTACCCACTGCCTAGTACCCAAGAACTGCTGCAGCCCCTCAGGAGATTCCAAGGTAAGTGAGCACCATTGCCAGCCTCCAGCCAAAACCAGAGTAGCGAGGTAGAGCTCACACAACCCAGCTGGTACTTGAGCACCCTATGAAGGTGATCTCAGCCCGAGGCCTTTTCTAAACAGCTTTATTGAATATCATTTACAACTATGAAATCTACCATTGTAAACAAGTGTACAGTTTCAACACTTTCAGTAGATGTATATAGTTGTGTAACCATCACCACAATCTAGTTTCAGAACATTTCCATCACCCTAAAAAACTCCCCCTCGCCCATTGCAGTCATTCCCTGTTCCTGCTCCCAGCTCTAGGCAACCATTATACGTTTTTAGTCTCTACACATTCATCTTAGTCATTTCATATAAATGGAACCTTATAACATACAGTTTTTTGTGTCTGGCTTCTTTCACTTAGCATGACATTTTTCAGGTTCATCCATGTTGTAGCATGGGCCAACTCCAGGGCAGAGTGACAGAGTATTTGTAGTTTTTTTTGTTTTGTTTTGCTTTTTTTTTTTTTGGAGACAGAATCTCACTTTGTCACCAGGCTGGAGAGCAATGGTGTAATCTCAGCTCACTGCAACATCCACTTCCCAGGTTCAAGTGATTCATGTGCCTCAGCCTCCTGAGTAGCTGGGATTACAGGTGCACATCACCACACCCAGCTAGTTTTTGTAGTTTTAGTAGAGATGGGGTTTCGCCATATTGGTCAGTCTGGTTTTGAACTCCTGACCTCAGGTGATCCACCTGCCTCAAAGTGCTGGGATTACAGGCACAAGCCACCTCACCCAGCCAGTTTATTCGGATAGACCACATTTTGTTTCACCAGTTGGACATTTGGATTGTTTCCAGTTTGGGGCTATTATAAATAATGCTGCTATGAACATTTGTGTACAGATTTTTCTAGACATATGTTTTCATTTATCTTGTGTAAAGTTCAGTGAATAAAATTACTAGGTTATTCAGTAAATTATTGTTTAACTTTTAAAGAAACTGGTACTGTCTTCCAAAGTGGCTGCACCATTTTACATTTTCACTAGCAACACGTGAGCGTTTCAGTTTCTCTGCATCCTCACCAAAACTGGTATTGCCTATTTTATTATAACCATTCTAGCAGATGTGTAATGATTTTACTATGATTTTCCCTAATGACTAATGATACTGAGCAACTCTTCACGGGTTTATTCATTGTTCATATACCTTCTTTGGTGATATGTCTATTCAAATATTTTTATTATTATTATTTATTTATTTTGAGACAGAGTTTCGCTCTTGTTACCCAGGCTGGAGTGCAATGGCATGATCTCGGCTTACCGCAACCTCCGCTTCCTGGGTTCAAGAAATTCTCCCGCCTCAGCCTCATGAGTAGCTGGGATTACAGGCATGTGCTACCATGCCCAGCTAATTTTTTGATTTTTAGTAGAGATGGGGTTTCACCATGTTGACCAGGATGGTCTTGATCTCTTGACCTCGTGATCCACCCGCTTCAGCCTCCCAAAGTGCTGGGATTACAGGCTTGAGCCACCGCACCCAGCCTATTGTTATTATTTTTTTGAGACGGAGAGTCACTCTGTCACCCAGGCTGGAGTGCAGTGACGTGATCTCGGCTCACTGCAACCTCTGTCTCCCAGGTTCAAGCAATTCTCCTGCCTCAGCCTCCTGAGTAGCTGGCATTACAGGCATGCAGTACTGTGCTGGGCCAATTTTTGTGTTTTAGTAGAGACAGGGTTTTGCCATTTTGGCCAGATTGATCTCGAACTCCTGACCTCAGGTGATGCACCCTTTTCGGCCTCCCAAAGTGCTGGGATTACAGGCCTGAGCCGCTGTACCCAGCCTTGACCATTTTTCAATTGAGTTTTTCTTATTATTACATTGTACGAATTCTTTGTATATTCTGGGTACAAGTTCTTTATCAGATATATGATTTGCAAATATTTTCTCTCAGTCTACGAATTATTGTCTTTCATTCTTAATGATGTTTTTGAGGAGCAGAAGTTTTTAATTTTGATAAAGTGCAATTATCAACTTTTTCCTTCTTCTTTTTTTTTTTTTTTTGAGACAGAATCTCGATCTGTTCCCCAGGCTGGAGTGCAACGGTATAATCTTGGCTCATTGCAACCTCCACCTCTTGGGTTCAAGTGATTCTCCCACCTCAGCCTCCTGAGTAGCTGGGACTACAGGTGTGTGCCACCACACTCAGCTAATTTTTCCATTTTTTGGTAGAGACAGGGTTTAACTATGTTGGCCAGGCTAGTCTCAAACTCCTGACCTCAAGTGATCTGTCATCCTCAGCCTCCCAAAGTGCCAGGATTACAGGCATGAAGCTTTTTCTTTTATGGATCAGGTGTTCAATGCATATCTAAAACTCTTTGTTTATTCCAAAGTCACAAAGATTTTATCCTATGTTTTATTCTAGGAGTTTCATAGATTCAGCTCTTACATTTAGGTCTATGATCCATTCTGAGTTAATATTTATGTATGGAATGAGGTAATGGTCTAAGTACTTTTTTTGTGTATGTAGATATGCAATTAGCCCAGCACCATTTGTTGAAAAGACTATTCCTTCCCACGTTGAATTGTCTTAGCACCTTTATCAAAAATCAATTTACCATAAACATAAGAATTGATTTCTGAATTCTCAGGTCTGTTCTGTTGATTTGGAGTTTGCCTATTCTTGTGTGAATACAACAATGTCTTGGTTAATGTAGCTTTACATTAAGTTTGAAAATGGGTGATATAAGTCTTCCAATTTTGTTCTTTTTCAAACTGTGTTGGCTATTCTAGATCTGTTGCATTTTCATATAAATTTTAGAATCAGTTTGCTAATTTCCGCAAAAAAAGAAAAACTTTTAGAATTTTGATAAGCACATGTTGAATTTATACATCACTTTGGGGAGAAGTGCCATCTGACAATATTGAGTCTTCCAGTATATGAATATAGAATGTCTTTTCATTTATTTCAATACTTTAGTTTCTCTTAGCAATGTTTTGTAGCTTTTGTTTTATTTTTAATAGAGACGAGGTCTTGCTAGGTTGGTCTTATGGGAGAACTCCTGGGCTCAAGCAGTTCTCCTGTCTCAGCCTCCCAAAGTGCTGGGATTATAGGTGTGAGCCACACACTTGGCCTGTTTTGTAGTTTTTAGTAAACAAGTTCTGCACTTCTTTTTTTAAATGCTTTCCTAAGTATTGTTGATGTTGCTGTGAACTGAATTGTGTTTGTGTTTTCTTAATTTCGTTTTGGGGTCACTCATTGATAGTATTAGAAATACAATTGGTTTTTTAATATTAACCTCCTTATACATTATAGCAGTTTTATAGATTCCTTGGGATTTTCTACATACACACCACACACACCCACACACACACACACAACACACTCATGTCGTCTGCAATAAGTACAGTTTCACATCTTCATTTCCAATCTAGATTTGTTTATTGCTCTATTGCACTAGCTAGAATCTCCAGTACATGTTTAATAAAAGAGGCAAAAGCAGACATCCTTGTCTTGTACTGATCTTAGGAAAAAAACATTCAGTCTTTTGCTATCAAGTTTGATGCTTATGATGAATATTTATAGATGCCCTTTATCTGGTTGAGAAGTTCCCTTTATTCCTAATTTATTAAAAGGTTTTCTTTTTTATCATGAATGAGTATTAGATTTTGTTAAATGCTTTCTCTGCATCTAGTAAGATGATTATATAGTTTGTCCTTTATTCTGTTAATATAACATATTATATTAATTGATTTTTTCAATGTTAAACCAACTTTGTGTCCTTGCAATAAAATCTGCCTGGTCATGGTGTATATATTTCTTTTCTATATGTTTCTAGATTCAGTTCGTTAACATTATGTTAAGGAATTTTGCATCTATGCTCATGAGAGATAGTGGTCTGCAATTTTCTTGTGATATCTTTTGATACCCTAGTATCAAGTTAATATTAGCCTCATTGAAGAAGTTGGAAAGTAGTTCCTCCTCTATTTTCTGAAAGAGTTCATGAAGGATTGCTATTACTTCTTTAAATATTTGATAGAATTTACCAGTGACAATACCTGGGTTTTTTTGCCCCAGAATATGATGAGTATAAGTCTGACTTGAGCTACAACAGAAACTCCATGAAGGAAGGCAGGGGTTTTTGCCTGTCTTCTTTACTGCTACATCCCTGGTATCTGGTACCTAGTTGGCATTCAATAAATAAGGAATGAATGAGTGACTATGGACAGCATGCACAACTGGAGCATCAGAGGCAGCAGGAAAGAAATTAATTTTGTCCACATGTGAAAAGCAGCTCACTACAGGATATTTCTTAGAGAAATTAAGTTTTAAAACACTAATTAAATTTCTATAACAAATACATTATTCCCCTACATTTAAGTATAAAACCAAGCAGCATAAACTTTATTAAAACTTATATTAATAAGCTATTAATACATGATATTAAGGTATATTAATAAGAATAAATATCTGCTAAGTTATGTTAAAAGTATGTAATGAAGATATTCCCCTTAAGGCAGAAGAGGACGTTTTTACCAATACAAAGAGTGTAAACTAACAAATATGGCCTTAGAATTGCCTTTGTGAGCAGCTGGTGTGGCTCCACCTTGGAAAATTTTGAGTTCTAACATTTTAGAGTCTGGACAGTGATATTAGGAAAATGTGAAGACCCTAAGGCCTTAACCACCTCATTCTGCTTTTTTTCTCTGTATAGTTAGAACAGAAGAAACTCCAAGCCTCCCAGCCCAGTGAGAGTCTCATTCAACTAATGGCCAAGGGGGAGAGTGAAGCCCTCTCTCAGATTTTTGCCGACTTACTCCAGCAGAATCATTTGAGGTACATGACTTAAAACAGGCCAGCCTCTGGCATTCCTTTCTGCAACCCAGATGGTCTGAGCTGTGAGATCCAGAAACCAAATATCTTGGTTAATGAGAATAGGGAGAGACCCTGGAATACTACAACTCACCACTCTACAGTTTTTTTTTTTCTTTTCTTTTCTTTTTGAGACAGACTCTTGCCCTGTCACCCAGGATTCAAGCAATTCTCCTGCCTAAGCCTCCCAAGTAGCTGGGATTACAGATCCCAGCAGCTGAGACTACAGGCATATGCCACGACACCCAACTAATTTTTGTATTTTTAGAAGAAACAGTGTTTCACCGTGCTGGCCAGGCTGGTCTCAAATTCCTGGCCTCAAGTGATCCACCTGACTTGGCCTCCCAAAGTGCTGGAATTACAGGTATGAGCCACCCTGTCCAGTCACGTAAAACCTAATTTCTAATCCAGTTTCTAGTCCTACAGAGAAATAACTAAAACATTGTTTAAAACATTGTCGACTTACTGGATTTACTTACTTACTCACTTGGTCTCTGCTTGGGAGGCTGAGGCGGGCAGATCACAAGGTCAAGAGTTCGATACCAGCCTGACCAACATGGTGAAACCCTGTCTCTACTAAAAATATAAAAATTAGCTGGGCCTGGTGGTGCACACCTGTAATCCCAGCTACTCAGGAGGCTGAGACAGGAGAATTGCTTGAACCAGGGAGGCAGAGGTTACAGTGAGCAGAGATCACGCCACTGCATTCCAGCCTGGGTGACAGAACAAGACTCTGTCTCAAAAAAAAAAAAAAAAAAAGACAGAGAGAGACAGGAGTTAAGAGTACTTAGACCAGAGGGTACCACAGAGTATCCAGTCCCAGATAAAGTGGGATCCAGGGTCCTTGTGTTTGTTATTTATGGTTTAATAAAAAAGGGAGAACAGAAATAAATTAATAAATGTCACCAGGAGAGAAAAATGAGGTGTCAGAGAGGAGAATTTTGTCCTAACAGTAACCAGTTGGACCAGCATCTCAGAGACAGAACATATCCCCTTTCTTTCTGAGCACTGGTAATAAACTGAAAACCAGTAGGGCTCGGAGGAGGCAAGCGCTTAGAGTGGTAGAGAGCTCACATAGAGCTGGCCCGAGTCACTGCTCTGACTGCACCCTTGAGCATATTGAAACTTGAGGGCTCAGTTTTCAGATTTGTAAAATGGAAATGAAAATAGTGCTAACCTCATTCAGATGTCGTCAGGATCAAATGAGCTCATATGCATCAAGCACTTAGAATGTTCCTCAGCAGATTTAGAGGCAAATTATAAGTAAGCTCTCAATAAGTATTAACTTGTATTATTAATTCTAACTTGGCTGGAAGTAGAAAACTATTAACGCAAGAAAAAGACTTATCTGTTGCCCAGTGTAAAGAATATACCCTGGAGATTTTCCTTCCATATGCCATACAGAGATCTGTAATTAAAGAACTTCTCAATGAGTTATCATATTGCTGAGCCCTGGACTCTAATAGAGCAAGGCATTTTGAAGCTACTTTTTGGCTGTCTCAAAATATTAAATCACTGATTTTTTCTTTCTTTCTTTTTTGAGACAGAGTCTCACTCTGTCACCCAGGCTGAAGTGCAATGGCACAATCTTAGCTCACTGTAACCTCCACCTCTCAGGTTCAAGCAATTCTCATGCCTCAGTCTCTGGTGTAGCTGGGATTGCTGGTGCCCACCACCATGCCTGGCTAATTTTTGTATTTTTATTAGAGATGGGGTTTCACCATGTTGGGCAGGCTGGTCTCGAACTCCTGGCCTCACATGATTCACTCGCCTCAGCCTCCCAAAGTGCTGGAATTACAGGCATGAGGCACTGTGCCTGGCCAAATCACTGATTTTTAAATTACTGTTTAAGGAACAGCTTCTGTTTATATCTCATTGGCCACACTCAGTCACATGGCCTTGCTCAGCTGCAAGGGAGGCTGGGAAATTCATTCCCTGTTTTGCATAGTCGTGTACCAACACAAAATTAGTCACTCTGCTCCCCAGGGAGAAAGAAAAAAGGGTCACTGGGGACCTACTGGCACTCTCTGGCACAGACAGCTTTTAATATTTCCAGTAGTTTAGAGGAGGCTAAGATCTGAAGGAGAAAATAGGCAATAGACTGTTAAAGAAAGGGTGAAGAAGGGCCAGGCAGGTTAAGGGAATGGACAGGTGCAAGGCTGAGACTTCCACAAAAGAAGAAACTTGGTGGAAAGGAAGAACAGGGATGGAAGAGAATAAGCAGAAGAGAGCAGAGAGTGAGCCAGGCAGGGCTTGGGAAGCCATGTGAAGAAATCTAGACTTCCAGTGTCATGGGAGCTTTAGCAGCATTTTAAACAGGGAAGTGACGTGATCCAATTTACATTTTGAAAAGGTCATGCTAGCTGTTGCCTGACAGTTAATTTGAAGGGAAGGAGAGACATGGAAAAAGAAGCTAGGGAGCTATGGCAACCTAGTCTGGGCAGATGAGAGGGATGTAAGAAATGAGGGAGGAAGGGATTCGTTTTTTGCTTCACTGCTATCTCAATAATTGCTTTGTACGGACATTGAGTTCCTTCTCTTCAGTTTCCCAGAATGAAGCCCCTGAGTGATGATTTTTCTCTGATTCAGGCTGGTTCTAGTCTGGCTGCAATTATTATCAATTTCTGCACATTTGGCAACAAGATGCAACTTAACAGCAAATATAATAAATGGCTGAGATGCAGAACTGAACAGATGGCGTCACCCCCTCCTGCTCAGCAGGATCAGCAGCATGGGCTCTGCGCCTCACCTCCCCCCATTCCTCCCCCTCCCTGGTTTCTTCTCTGGAACTTTAATACGCGTCACACCCGTTCAACATAGCCACAGCTGGCTTGTTTCATATTTATATCTGTCTAAAGCTTTGCATCAGGAACTTTGGAACAAGATCCGAAATACAAATTTAAGGTTCTTTTCCTTTACTTTCAACTTTCATTTCCTTGATCCAGAAATGGCTCGAGTTTCAGGAGCAGCAAAAAGGTGGAGACCAACAAGAACAGCTCAGGTAAGGAAGGGCACAGGGTACCATGCCTCAAAGAGCTTTCCACTCTGGATATAAGAACAAGATCCTCCCCAGCTCCCATCCCAGTTGTCCTGGTGCTGTCAGTATTGCCATTGTCCTTCCATGCCTTAGTTTGAATTCCTTTAGGCTCTCTGGCCACCACAGCTAAGCTGGCACCAAGTCCTAGTCAATTTCTTTCTTTGCAATGTATCTTCTATTCTTTACTTCACTTCTACGTCCATAGACCCTACCCTAGCCCAGCCCTACTCATCTCATGCCTGCAGCACTTTTCCACAAGTTCATTTATCCATTTATTCATTTAAAAACATTCACTGAGTACTGTGTAAGTGCCAATTACTGTAATGGGCTTTAGGGTCTTCATGTGGAAAGACAACATGTTCTCTCAAGAAGTTTAAAATTTGGTGGCGTCAGATGGGGAAATCACCAAATTACAAAATGTCTCCTTCCAGGAAACATTCAAAGCTTATGCCTATGGAACCAAAGGAGCATAAAGAAGGGGGTCCCTTTTTCCTGCCAGGAAGCTGGCCTGGGAGGCATGGTTTCTGAATCGAGTCATAGACCATGAGTGCAGGTGAGCTGGCCGGAACAGATAAGGAAGGGCATTCCAGGAAGAAGAGACAGAGTCTGCATGAGGGAGCATAATGCATTCTGGGAAAAGCACCCAGTTCTCTATTTCCAGGTTCTAATTAACCCCAAATCCACTCGGTGTGGCATGCATGGCCCTGCACAAACTTCCCCCATCTCATCCATCTCACCTGATCACTCACTCTGCCTCTAATAGAAGCCCTCGGCCTAATCATCTTCTCCAGCCCAAATCTTTTGCTCCAGCAAACCATATCCATCCCATGCCTCCTTCATCTCCATCCACTCCCTCCCCCCGATGCTTCCCTCTAAATCCTCCCTATCCTTCTAAATCCTACCCTTCACACAACACCTTCCTGCTCAGGCTAATCCTTCCTTAGTCATAACCTCTCTTTCATTATTCCCTAGTTGTTTTATAAGTTCAAGGCACATTTCTTCAATGAATACTAAATTGTTTTCATGCTTCTCAATTATCCACAGCATAAAATAGAGGGCTGAGAACACAATGGGAGGCAATAAATATCCATATACCATGCCACAAATAAATTCTTCATGTTGGCTCAGTAAGCAGGCAGAATATCATAAGATATCTATATATTTAGAGAAGGCTATAGGTCCCAGGGGAACTCTGCTAACTTTCGTCTTAGTCAGGGATCACAAACGCATAGGTCTGCAGGTGATCTAAATGGGTAAAGGGCTGGGTGACATGGATGTAAGAACAGGTTAACTTTTCTCTAAATTCTGTTATAAGTAAAACAACTGCTGGCAGCTGACACTTGGTGTCAAAACTGAGAAGACAACAGGGAGTGGTGGGGACAGTGGCAATGAGAAGGTGAAAGCTTCAATTAAGACTTCCATTAATTGTTGCCATGCTGAAATCCAGGCCAAATGTTCTGATTTTTTGAGAGAAGCCAAAAATCTGGATGTATGTGGCATACCACCTTCCTGCAAAATATTAAAGCATAGTATTGGCTAACACTTAGTGGGCAAACAAAACGTATCTGCAGACCACATTCAGCCTGGAGGCTGCCAGCTCACAGCCCCTGTTTTAAATGGTAAGCACAGCTGCGGCTGCTTCACATTTTGTCCAAGCCTAGGAATGTTTTCTCATGTTGTGTAACTAATGACACGATGGTGATTCGTTTCTCTAATTCAGACACACATACATATAAACATACACACTCAAAACACACCCCATGGCATTAGGGTTGAGGAAAACAGATGTGAGAAATATTTCAAACATTTCTGGGACTCGAGAAAACAGCTAGAATTTTAGGATCACAGGGTATCTGGCATCACAGGAGCAACCATGCCCAAGATGTTCCTAGGCTGAAATTAAGTTGAAATTAACCATCCCAGGTGGCCTCCAGGCCCTCTTTTCTCATTGGGTGAGGTAGTGTACCCTCTCAGTTTAAAAAGACTGTTAAACCCCAGCATCTTGGAACTTTTAGATGAAAAAGAGAGACTTCGAGTTGGAAAAACCAGAGACCAACAGTACCTGTGTGGCTGAATCTTTCCACTTCCCTCCAGCAGGTGGTATGGCCCATTACCGCGGTGCTTCCCAACCTTTAATGGGCAAACAGTCCTCCACAGATCTTGTTAAAAGGCAGATTCTCATTTCTTGGGTCTAGCGGGCTTCAGACTGCTATTCTAACATGCTCGCAGGTGATGCCAAAGGTGCTGGGCTATGGGCCATCCTTTGAAAAGCTGGGACCAACTGGACCAAGAAAAGGCTCTGGCTTAAGGCCTTCTGGGTTCAAGGCCACTGCTATATCAGCTAGATGAGTCTCCTGGGGAAATTCACTCAGTTAACCCTTCTGAATCATATTGGGTCTCTCCTTTTACTGGTGCTGTCTTGTTCACATGACATAGCAGTAAGAATGTGGACTCTGGGCCGGGCGTGGTGGCTCAAGCCTGTAATCCCAGCACTTTGGGAGGCCGAGGCGGGTGGATCACGAGGTCAAGAGATCGAGACCATTCTGGTCAACATGGTGAAACCCTGTCTCTACTAAAAATACAAAAAATCAGCTGGGCATGGTGGTGTGTGCCTGTAATCCCAGCTACTCAGGAGGCTGAGGCAGGAGAATTGCCTGAACCCAGGAGGCGGAGGTTGCGGTGAGCCGAGATCGCGCCATTGCACTCCAGCCTGGGTAACAAAAGCAAAACTCCGTCTCAAAAAAAAAAAAAAAAAAAAGAATGTGGACTCTGGAGCCGGGCTGCCAGGCTTGGAATTCTGACTCTGCCTCTCCTTGTGTGCCCATTGGTAAATTACCCACTCCCTCTGAACTCACAGAGTTGTGGTCAGGATTAAAAGACCATGAATGCATGTAATTGTTTGGAATGGTGCCTGGCACATTATAAGCAGCCCCCAGTTGTTGGTTGTAACCTGTGAGTGCTCTGGGAACCAGCGTACAAGCTAACGAATTTCTTTACTTGACTTAGAGAAAGATTCTTCCGGTGAAGACAGCATCCCTTGCACCTGTGACCTACGTTGGAGGGCTTCATTCACTTACGGAGAGTGGGAAAGAGAGAACCCCTCTGGGCTGCAGCCCCTCTCACTCCTCAGCACTCTGGCAGCCTCCACTGGGCCACAGCTGGCCCCACCCATAGGTACAGCAATGGAAGTAATCTTCTGTCATTGTGGGGCAGTCCTGGTGTTTAGCCTCAGGGCTGGGTCAGGTCCTGGGGTCCTGAGGGTGATTCCAGAAAGCTGTGAGGTGGGGTCGAGTGATGTTGGCCACCCCAGCCCTCTTTTTCCAAGTGGGTTGAGCAAAACCCAGATGTGTGGCACCTCCAGGGCTCCCAGAGTTCCCCAGATGCTCTTGACACTACAGCTGCTTTGTTTTGCTTTGTGGGAGATGTAAGGGGTCTCCTCTGCAGAGACCCCATGTGCTCCTTCCTCTCTTTTCCTTTCCTGGAGCTCTTGAAGAGCTTTCTTACTACTGTGGCTGGGTGCAGAGAGTAAAAAGGAAGGAGGCTAAGGGAGCGGGGGTGGGGTCAGAACTCCTAAGGTCCCACCCAGTCGTTCTCTTCATGCCCATTCGTCGGTCCACACATTCATCTAATGAACATTTGTGAAGTACTTCCTATGTGCCTCTGTCTAGCCAGAGATAGATTTCCTAAAAAGGGAGTGTCAAAACTGAGAACACAACAGGGAGTGGTGGGGACAGTGGCAATGAGAAGGTAAAAGCTTCAATTAAGACTTCCATTAATTGTTGCCATGCTGGAATCCAGGCCAAATGTTCTGATTTTTTAAGAGAAGCCAAAAATCTGGACATATGTGGCATACCACCTTCCCACAGAATATTAAAGCATAGTATTGGCTAACACTTAGTGGGCAAACAAAACATCTGCAGGCCACATTCAGCCTGGAGGCTGCCAGCTCACAGACCCTGTTCTAAATGGTGAACACAGCTGATTTCTGTTTTCTAAAGTAAAATATTGTTAAAAAACCACCAACTCTTTTTTTTTTTTGAGATAGAGTCTCACTCTGTCACCCAGGCTGGAGTGCAGTGGCATGACCTCTGCTCACTGCAACCTCCGCCTCCCAGGTTCAGGTGATCCTCCTGCCTCAGCCTCCTCAGCTGGGATTACAGACACCTGCCACCATGCCCAGCTAATTTTTGTATTTTTAGTAGAGACAGGGTTTCCCCATGTTGGCCAGTCTTGTCTTGAACTCCTGACCTCCGGTGATCTGCCCACCTTGGCCTCCCAAAGATTACAGGAGTGAGCAACTGAGCCTGGACATCACCAATTCTTATAAGATACCTATTATGAATAGTTGACAATTTTTAAAATTAGCATAGTACCTCTGTGCCCGCAAAAGAGCTTTTTAGGTAATTTATATCCTATCAAACACTTTTCTCTCCCACACTCACAGGAAATTCTATTTGAGCCACCGTTCCGCACTGGGGAGAATCTGTGCGAGCCTTAGCAACACTACTCTGCAGCATTCAGCTTCTGAGGGATTGTCGGGATGGAGGGGAAGAGAAAACTGCAAGTAAGGAAAAATAGAATCATCTCACGGTGACAGCAGAGCCTTTCCAGCTGTACGTACCCACGTCCTCACCACTGCACCTCGCCACGCCCCACCTCCATGCCACTGCCAGAGTTGGCCTAGCAAGATGTGCGCTCAGAATGGCCAGAACCGAGCGATGGAGGAAAGGAGTGAGAGGGAAGTAGGAGCAGAAAAGAAGTGGAAGGGAGCAAAAAGGAGTGGCGAGAAAGGAGGAAGTCAAAGCGGATGAGAGACACAAGACAAGTGGTAACAGGAAACAGAAGACACTTGGCAGACAAGATAAAGAGAACAAGAGAAGAGGCACACCCCTGAGAGATGCTCACCAACCTTCTATCTATCTAATTTAAAACTTGAAAGTAAAGCCATATGCCAAAAAAAAAGAAATACATTTTCTTCCCTGCTCGGTCCACTCTGGACAAGTGTGAACTGCCAGACTCCTTCAGTTTCCCTTTCTGTCTGTTTTTCTTGCTAGTTCCTCTCTTCTGATTAAAGCTGTATTCTTTCTCTGTTAGTCTGTTCCCTAACTTGGACTTGCTAGCCCAGCCTTGGTGTTCCAAACAGAGGTTTGGGTTTGAGCTGCAGAAAGGTTCCCGTGGGAGGCAGTAAGGCAAGGTGTGTAAGGTAGGGTGAATTTCTCTTTTGTGTTCGAATTCCCTAAATTCACTATTATCTCAGTGCTGCAAACACTGGCTTAACTTCTTTTTTGTATAACACTCCTTGAAATGCCAACATACATTGTTAGTGCTTTTTATTTTTTATTTTTATTTTTATTTTTTGAGATGGAGTTTTGCTCTTGTTACCCAGGCTGGAGTGCAATGGCGCGATCTTGGCTCACCACAACCTCTGCCTCCTGGGTTCAGGCAATTCTCCTGCCTCAGCCTCCTGAGTAGCTGGGATTACAGGCACACGCCACCATGCCCAGCTAACTTTTTGTATTTTTAATAGAGATGGGGTTTCACCACGTTGACCAGTATGGTCTTGATCTCTTGACCTCGTGATCCACCCGCCTCGGCCTCCCAAAGTGCTGGGATTACAGGCGTGAGCCACTTCGCCCAGCCCCTGTTAGTGCTTTTTAAATTAGAGATTCCAGAGATAGGAGAGAAAGGCTCAAAGTATAGGTTGATCAGAGGTTTATCAATTATAGACGAAGAGAGTCACTAAGGGGTTTGTCAGATGGTCTATGGACTGGCCTCTTTGTTTAAAATGTGCCATATTGTCAGGTGCAGTAGCTCTTGCCTGTAATCCCGGCACTTTGGGAGACCGAGGCAGGTAAATCGCTTGAGTGCAAAAGTTGGAGACCAGCCTGGGCAACATGGCGAAATTCCATCGCTGCCAAAAATAGAAAAAAAAAAAAGCTGGGAGTGGTGGCATGTGCCCATAGTCCAGGCTACAAGGGAGAGGCAGAGGTAGGATGATTGCTTGAGCCCAGAAAGTCGAGGCTGCAGTGAGCAATGAGAGTGCCACTGCACTTCAGCCTGGGTGACAGAGTGAGACCCTGTCTCAAGAAAAGAAAAATTTCACATTTAATGAGAAACAGACTACGAATATTTCAGGAAACCTGCCCATCCTCCAACTGGACAGGATATTCTGGGAGGTTTCGATTTGACTTAAGATATCCTAGTAGGGGCTTTTTCCTCACCAGAGTGGTTTTCAGACTGAAATGGTTGGAGGGCTAAAAAATAAGCTCCTGGATCACCATTACTCCAAGGCTGAGTTTTGTAGTTACGTCCTAATTCTTAGTGATTTCCACATCCACATAGATGATCCTTCCCATACTTTGATCTGTTTCCTGAACTCCTGCCTTCCAATATTACGTTTTCCACCCTCAACCACTGTTTCCCTTGATTTTACCCTAGTGTTTGTCATTAATAACTGTACGTAACTCCATTATTCCCACTCCCTAGCTGTATACATCTATTTTTTCCCGAGTCCAATAATCCATTGACCCGCCAATCCTACAAGTTATTGCTTCTACCAGGTTTTCACTGTCGCTCACTCTCTTCATGTTCTCATTTCCTTCCCCTGTGACTGAGATTACCCGTGGTCAGTCATCATTATTATCACTTCCTGGCATGCACTCTCAACATCTTTGTGGCTGTCTCACTTTCTTCCCTTGGCTAACTCCAGCTCTCTACCAAGTCCATGCCTGTGTGATGCTGCTGAACTTGCCACTGAACCCCCCTGGAGAAGATCCCATGACATACTAACCAGTCTCACTGCAACGTCATCAGCGTAGACTCAAGAGGGTCCTTGATGTTGCCTGGAAATCATCCTACACTCCCCCAAGTCTGTTCACTCTGCTGAATGGCTATTTCACACCTTCCCTCTCCTCAAACTGCCAATGCCCCCTAATGACCAGGCTTCCTATTTCACTGAGAACATAGTCACAATTGAAAGAGAATTTCAGGCTTTCATATCTACCAGTTCCCTAGATCCAGACCCGTTGACTCTGGCTTCTCTCCTTGTTACTATGGAGGAACTGCCTCTCCAAGCAAAGTCCAGCTCTTCCGCTTTTGTACTAGATCCTATCCCATCCCCCCAAGGATGTCCACCAGCAACTCTTCCTTTTTCTTATGACATCAGTTTGATCTGTTTTTTCTCAGTTCCTTTGCTGATTCATTTTCATCAACACCCCCCAATCATATCTGAACGTCAGAAATTCCCAGGATTCAGACCTTGAGTCTCTTGTAATAAAAACACATGGATTTCATTCCACCAATATACTCCTAAATTTATATATTTAGTCCAGACCGCTGTGAACCCTAGAGATACATATCCAACTGCCTAGTTGAGATCTGTACTTGAATGTCTAATATGTATCTCAATATGCCCAAAACAAATCTCTCAGTATTATCCGTTAAATTGGCCGGATGTGGTGATGCATGCCTGTAATCCCAGCTACTCTGAAGGCTGAGGCACAATAATCACTTTAACTCAGGAGGCGGAGCTTGCAATGAGCGGAGATCATGCCACTGTACTCCAGCCTGGGCGACAAAGCAAGACTCCATCTCAAACAAACAAACAAACAAACAACAAACAACAAAAAACAATTATCCCTCAAAACTTTGTTCTCTCTAAAGTTTTCTCTATCCAAATAAGTGGAAGCTTAATTTTTCTACTTGCTCAAAACCTTGGAGTCATCCTTGACTCTTTTCTCTCCACTCTATTTCCAATCCATTAGGAAATCCTTTCAAACCACTTTCAAAAGTGGTTATCTAGCTGGGCACGGTGGTGTGTGCCTGTAATCCCAGCTACTCAGGAGGCTGAGGCAGGAGAATTGCCTGAACCCAGGAGGTGGAGGTTGCGGTGAGCCAAGATCACGCCATTGCACTCCAGCCTGGGTAACAAGAGTGAAACTCCGTCTCAAAAAAATAAAAATAAAGAATCTTAAATATTTACACTCTATGGACTAATATGTCTATTTCTAGGGATGTATTCTAGGAAGAAAATCTGATCAATGCAGACATATTTCCCTACAAAGATGTTCATGGGATTGTTATTTACAATAAAGTCAATTTGGAAGCAATGAATGTTAAATGACCAACAATAACGAACTTGTGTAAATAATTATGCGACATCCACATAATAGATCGTCATGAAGTCATTAAAACTCACATTTTCAAAGAACATTAGAAACATATACAAAACAGTGTTCAGCAAATAAAACAAAATAGTACTGTATATTTAGTATTATACTAATCTTGGCGTATGGCATCTGGTGAGTAAAAAACTGGAAAGAAAAAACAAAGTGGTTATCGCACTCAGAATTTTATATTCTTACTACTTCCACTGCCACCAGCCTGGACCAAACCATTATCCTCACTCACCTAGATCGCTGCAAACCACCTCCTAAATGCGCTCTGTTCCTTAACTTTACCCCCTTTCAGTCTAATGTGATCCTTTTAAAATCTTAGCTCATGTTACTTCTCTGCTCAAAACCTTCCAGTGGCTTCCCTTCTGTATTAGTTAAGGCAATGCTATCTCTGAAAGAGAGAAATCCTAATATGTAATGGCATAAAATAGCTAATAGAAGTTCTACCTCTCAGTCACAAAGGGTCCAAAAATGGTATTGCTGCTTCCAAAAGTGAGTGGTAGTTTCATAGGAACCTGGGCTCTGCCATCCGCAATACACAGCTTCTAGCCACCGAAAGAGAATGAGCTTGGAGAACTGCACATGGCAGGTCTGTATGGCCAGTACTGGAAGTCGGGTACAGCATCTCCACCCTCCTTCCTTTGGTCAGAGCTCAGTCATATGGCCACACTGCAAGAGAGGCTGGGAAATGTAGTCTAGCTGGATTCACAGAAAGAAGAAGAAACAATTTAGCAAATATCAGTCTTCCATATCCTCTCACTCATCATAGTGAAAGCGAAAGTCCTTGCAATAGCCTAACGGGCCTACCTGGTGTCCATCTCCCCCTCCCCCATCCCTGCTACTCCCTCTCTGACCTCATGTCCTCTACTCTCCTTGCTGCTGTACTCCAGCCGCACTGGCTTCCAGTTGCTCCTCAAACACTGCAAACATACCCCCAACTCAGGACCTTGCCTTGGAGTTCCTTTTCCTGGGATGTTCACTCATGTGTCACTCTCTCATGAGCTTCCCTGGCCACCTTTTCTGAGATGGCAACACCACTCCTGAGAGTCCCTTCCCTCACTGCTCTCCTTTCCTGCCTTATTTTTCTCCTTATGTAAGCAGACAGAGAGGGTCTGTATTAGTCCATTCTTGTATTGTTAGAAAGAAATACCTGAGACTGGGTAGTTTGTAAAGAAAAGAGATTCAACTGGCTCACGGTTCTGCAGCTGTACAGGAAGCATAGCAGCTGCTGCCTCAGGGAATTCACAATTACGGCAGAAGGCACAGGTGAAGCAGATACGTCTTACGTGGCTGGACCAGGAGGAAGCGGGGGGAGGTGCCACCCACTTTAAATGAACAGATCTTGTGAGAACTCACTCCCCAAGCGGGGATGGCGCTAAACCATTCATGAGAACTCCACCCCATGATCCAATCACCCCAACCAGGCTCCTCCTCCAACACTGGGGTTTACAATTCGACATGGAGATCAGATCCAACCCATATCAGGGTCTCCAAGAATGAAAAGAATTCAGTAAACTTGAGCAATCAGGCTGTTTTATAGCCTCCTGCCCTGCAGCCTGTTTTTCTCCAACCCTGCATGCAATGTGGTCACCTTATTGGTCTGAACCAGCTCCTGACAGACCCTGGCAATTTATAGATGAGCCGAGTCAACTTTTCTCTTGACCATGCCAAAGTCTCCACCCTGGGAGGAGCTACAGCTTCATTACCATAATATGCCACCTATGTGCTGGCATAATGACTCACTCATCTGTGCCACTGGGACACCTCCTCTATATGTGATTTTGCACCCTCTCCTCTCTCCATCGCCTCATAAAACCCTCCTGTCACTTTCCTTTGGGAAGACACTGCTTTAGAGAACACCCCCAGTATCCTTCTTGCATATGCCAAGTAGTAAAACTCCTATTGATCGAAAACTGAGTTTTGCATTGTTTGTTACTTGGCAAGAGAACAAAGCCTGGTTTTTTGGGTAACAGCACCTGTCACCACCTCTCATTCTATGTATTTTGCTTTTTTATCTTGTTTATGGGCTGTCTCACCTACTTCTACATACCAGAATATAAGCACCAGGACAGACTTAATTTTGTTCACTGCTGTATCCCCAGTTCCTAGAACAGTGTCTGCACACAGGAAACATTGAAGGTTTAGTAGCACCCATTAGCAGAGCTGGGACACCTGGAGACAAACGTCAGCCTTTTGTGGTGATACCATCATGCTGGCCACAAGCAGTCTTTCAGTGCTGCTTTCACTAGATGGACTTAGGCGCAGCTGATGGCAGCATTTGTAATGTATGTTGTCCCTCAGGTTCTTTTCTTCCTTCCTCCAACTACTTTCTAACTCTAGGGCTCCCATGAGGCTTTCGTCTCCTCAAAAAGTTCATCTGTTCTCATGGCTCCATCAGCCATCTCCTGGCTAACAACCCCTCCCAAGTATCTCCTCCAGGCTCTTGGTCTTTCTCTTTAGATGTTCTGCCATCACGTAGACTTCCATGTCTTGAAATCAATTCACTTCCCTCATTCCATGAATCTAGCACATTCTCCCAGTTTTCCATGATTAAACCTTTTAATTTTTGAGTGCTCCTTCTTCATTTTTTCTTTCAAGTGATCACTAAGCTCAGGGCTTATTTCCACTTTGCAAATCTCTCTTGTATCTAAGGGTCCTCTTCCATTTCCCTTGCCCTTGCTAGGTCAGGCCCTTCTCCCTAGGGAATCTCAGGGTCGGAGGGTCCCACTCTGGCGCTCTCACTGCCTGTTTAGACTTTACTAGGACAATTCCAGGATGGAAGGCTCTGCCATTAGGCTGAGTTCCTTAAGGACAGAGATGATGTTCTACTAATTTTGGGTTCACCAGCACCTAACACCAGTGCCTGACTTTAAGGAGTTATTATTTTATTTTATTTTATTTTTAAGAGATAGGGTCTTTCTCTGTTGCCCAGGCTGGAGTGAAGTGGCACAATCATAGCTCACTGCAGCCTCAACCTCCTGCAGTCTCAAGGAACTAGCTGGAACTACAGGTGTGTGCCACCACACCCAGCTAATTTTTAGTATTTTCTTTGTAGAGATGGGGGAGGGAGGGTCTTATTATATTGCCCAGGCTGGTCTCAAACTCCTGGCCTTAAATGATCCTTAAGGAGGTATTTTAAAAACTGTTTTTCAAGTAATGCCTCCTGAGGCAGGCTGTTTCTCTTGTTGATACCCATTACATATGCTTCCCGGAAAGAAACAGTTTCAGTTTCATTCTCCCCATGTAGGTACAAGCTTAGAAACTTTCACAGGAAGACCCACAATTCCCACTGCCTTCAGTTCAGGCTCCTCAAATTGACAAGATCTTCCACAAACTTACTATCCATGCTTCCCTTTCATCGCTTCTCTCCAACCCGCCCCTGCCCTTTTTTTTTTGAGACGGAGTTTCGCTCTTGTTACCCAGGCTGGAGTGCAATGGCGCGATCTCGGCTCACTGCATCCACCTCCCGGCTTCAGGCAATTCTCCTGCCTCAGCCTCCCGAGTAGCTGGGATTACAGACGCTTGCCTCCACGCCCGGCTAATTTTTTGTATTTTTAGCAGAGACGGGGTTTCACCACCTTGGATGGTCTCGATCTCTTGACCTCGTGATCTGCCCGCCTCGGCCTCCCAAAGTGCTGGGATTACAGGATTGCGCCACCGCGCCTGGCCTTTCAACCCCTTTTGTTTTTTAACCTTCCTCATTTGCTACCTGGCCTGAGAAGTTACCTCCCACTCTGTCCCTCCACTTGTCCTTTTTCCTATTACTCTTCTTGCTGAATAGTTTATTTGGGACTTCCTTAGTACAGCCTTAGTCATATCTCCCTCTGAAGCCTTCTCTGACTACCACCAAGGGTCACTGACACTCTTTTGTCTGAATGCCGGAAGCATTAGTTGTAAACCTTTCACCCTGACAGTAACAAACTTGCTCTCATGAGCTTAACTGTTTCATGAGCTTACTACTTGCCTCAACTTGATTTTAAACTCTACAGGCTTTATGTGCTAAGAACTCCACAGGTTTATATTCCATTTGTGTTGAAGCTATAGTAACCTTTATTTGACACTTGTTTTAATTTCATGACACGAAACGAATAAATGGATGATTTCCTGTGTTCCTCTTAAACCAGGGACATGCAACGAGTTCTGCCCATTCCATTCACTTCACATTACTGAGCTGGGCAGTAAGCTCAGAGCTGCAGATATAAAGACGAATAGGCACATCCCTACCCAGGAGCTTACTCTAGAAGAGGACAGATGGAAAAGCGACATTTTAAAGCAGAATTTGGCAAAGCGTACTGAAGCTATATACAGCTATCATGGTAAATAAGGTAAGAATTATGCCTAGTGGGGTCAGGGAAGGCTTCTAGAACTAACATCAGAACTGGGACTTCTATTGGCAAGGCAGAGAATCAAGAAAGCCCACTTATTCCTGGCAGAGGAAGCCTCTTGATCAAAAATCTTAAGAGATGAAAAAGGACCGGCTGTCAGGAAACAGAGATGATGGTGGCCAGAGCGCAGGATGAGGGGGAGTGTTGAGAGATGGAGCTGAAAGATACACTGATGCCAAAGACTCAAGAGCCTCCTATAGATAGTACAGGGCGCAGCGCTGAAGGAAAATAAAAGGTTGGGATTGTTCAATAAAGTTGGTGACTGATGCAGTCGGATTAGTTCCGCCCTGGGGGCCTTGTGGGAATGAAGATAACTAGCAGGATAGTCTAAGAAGCACTGTTGGAGGCAGAGTCATGAGCTGTGAATGGGGACGTGGCGGCCACACGGCCGCGCCCACGCCATCCGCAATAGGGGGCTGGGGCTGGGGCCGGGGCTAGGGCCCGCCGTCCCAACGTGCCCGGGTACTAGAGTTGGGCGGGAATCGGGTCCACGCAACTCGGCGTGGTCGCGGGGACGTGGCGCTTTCGAGCCAATCCTGGCTATGAGATTGCTGGACCAATGGCAGCTCGGGGAAGCTATGCGTCAGCGGCGGGTTTGCTGATGATTGGTCGGGAGGCCGCTGACAAGCCGGATAAGGGCGGGACGCAAAGCCGCTTCCGGTTGGGCGGTGCTTGCGCGCGTGAGCTGAGCCGGTGGGTAGGCTGCGGCCACGGCATCCTGTGCTGTGGGGGCTACGAGGAAAGGTAAGTACGGTGATGCCCAGCCCCTTCACCACCGCCTCATCTTTATTCGTTTTCTTTTTGTCCCTGGTCTTGTTCTGGACGCAGCAGGTGCCTACCTCACTCGGGGCCCGTGTCTCTGCTGGCGCCGAGGTCCCAGGCCTGAGCTTGCTGGAGATCCTGGGGCCCTCGGTGTGCGACCTGGGATGTAGGCCGCCGCTGGTCTTCCCGCGCGCTCCGGGAAGGGGGCTAGTCCGGTCGACTCCGTCCCGTTCGGTACTGTTCTGTGCCTGGCTTGTCGCGTCCTTGTCCGTCTCTGGGTCATGCCACTCACCGAGTCCCTGGAACCAGAGGGTCACTTTTTGCCTCCGGAAGGTCGGAGGGCATTTGGATAGTGTTATTGTCACAGCTCCCTGCCGCCTCCCACTCACCAGCCTGCTTGTATCTGCCAGCCCCGCCCCAGGGCCACATCCCGACTGTAGGGTGCATCTGCCAAGAAGGTCGTGTTCACTCACCTAAATGGTGCAAAAACAAGGGAGGAAAGAACAAGTGAAGACACTACGTGTTATGTACAGTTTTAAAGAAAAGCCGAATATTTAGAGCTTCCATGTTTGGCTACGTACTTCAGTTAGCGATGGAAAATAGGTTTTAAAGCTGTATTGGGGAATTAATTTTTTTGTTGTTGTTGCTTCTAGCACCATATCCTACTGATTTTTGGCGTGCTGAGGTCAGAAATAAACTTAATTCCTTTCCGCTGCCCTGATAAAGCGTATAGTAGAGTGCCTTGCAGTCAGTTTCGAAAGCTGCTTTTGCGTCAAGGCAAAAGCTCCCTGGGTCTCCTGCTACAACTTTTGAGCCTGTGATCTGAATTCCTAAGTGTGTAAAATTCTAGAATAGTGTTTTTGAGAACTGAATTGCATTCATTTTCTGGCATGGACCATAAAGTCAACGTTAATGAACTGGGAATAAGGTGGTTTCAAGTTGTTTCTTGTTCTAGTAGTTCATTCAGTTTGGAGGCAAAGAACCTTGGAATCTTTGTTAAATTAGGCTTTGCCATAGAATGGAACTTGACACAAGACAAATGCAAGTGTGACCTCACTCAGATTTAATTAACCAAATACCAAACGACAGTCATCACTGAAGAATTTCTATAATATCCAAATGAGGGACCAGATATAACCTCTAAATTGTATTTGTCAAGAAAGTAAGTTTGTCAAGGCCTAATCTGAGGTTTTTCAGTGATTCGGGGGTTTCCAACAGGATTCTTTTGAGAATCACAAGTAGGAGAGCTGTAAGCTCACAAAAATGTATTGAGTGTGCCTCAGTGATTAATACTCAATATAGCTTTGAAACCAACTCATTGTCACTTTCAATCTACTCATTGCTTTCATTCATCCAGTGATGTGTCAAGAGATACTTACTGATAGCACTTTATACCCATTAGAGCAGTATTGTGATCTGTATATTGGTGTTATTTTTTAAAATTTACTTTAGAGTTGAAGATCTCACTGTGTTCCCCGGGTGGATCCTTGAACTCCTGTGCTGAAGCAGTCCTCCTGCCTCAGCCTCCCAAGTAGCTGAGACTAGAGGTATACAACACCACACCCTAGTACGTTGGTGTTAACAGATTTTGTGTAACGTAGATATGCCAGGGATATTGGAACGACAGAGGTGTAGCCAAGGATAGCCGCTGGAAATGCTAGCTAGGCCATAAGGCCCTAGATTCTGTCTCTCTGAACTCTTAAGTATGGATGTTGCTGATGCTGTAATTTATGTATTCAAGTTAAGACAGCTGAAATAATACTTTGCCTGTTGCTGGCTGATAGCCAGGTCCAGTAAATGGAATTGGAGGTTGGAGAGCACAGGCAGGCAGGAACCACATTGCTATCAAGTACCACCCAATTAATTCAGTAAGATGTATTAATCCAGTAAAATGTATTGGTATCAAAAAAGTGCAAAACAGTGTATTAGGGAAAATATAGGGATAATAATTTGCACTAATATGTAGACATTCTTCCAGAAATGTAGATTCTAAAGAGGAGCTAAGGAGACAACTTAAAGTAGTCTATGGTCATTGTTACTGAGTGGTACAAGCGCGTTTTGTAGTTTAGACCGCATCATACCTTTTTTGTCCAAAAAGAAAAAAATATCACAGATCATTTCCAGCTAGAGTGATTACAGCAGGTAGGTCTTTTCTTCTAGGATCTTAAAATTATTTATAGACATCTGGCACTGAAGGAAGGTTGAGCTAAAATAACTACCAAATTCTCAACAATGTCACGCATGTTACACATGCACAGCAAAATTAAAACTAGAAACCAAGGCTCCTTTCCTACATTTCAAGTAGCATTTCTGTCACAATTGATTATGTATTAAGGCTTGTTGACCAAAAGGAAACTTGTTTTCTCTCAGATTTTCTAGAATTTTTTCTTAAAAAAAAGTTTTTTATTCTGTGGCCAGAAAATTTAAAGTTTGTGCTGGGTTGCTTTGGTTAGAGAACTAATGAAGCTTGAGTAATAGTTTCAGACATTCTCAGAGTTTTTTTCTCTGCAGCCACATTTTACACTTTAATATCTCAGCTGTCTTGTAAATGTATTTCCTCCATCATATAGTTAGAATGTGTTGATGAACCAATGTAACTTCATCGCTAGACGTTAAATAAATTATGTGTTGGTATCATGACTTATCAAATCATGAAAGATGCCATCACTTTTATGTGATAGTCCATTGGTAGTACTTGTACTAAAGTTTGTAAGTAAAGAATGTCAGACAACAAGATAACTTCATTTTCTAGACCTCATAACCTAGGCCTTACTATAGTTAAATTGCTATCAGGCTATTCCCTGTAATCTCCAATTGAAGTAGACAGTTAAAACAATGAGATCCTGCTTTTGCTGCATTGTGGAGAAATGCCTTTTCTGCTGAATATCCATCCAGCTCAGAGAACTGGAATTTTACTGCCACACCCATTTCTCCCGATTGTTAACATTGAGCAATGGGTCTTTGGTCAACCAGAATAACTGTCGGATCATTCAGTGTTAACATTCTTGTGAAGCTGAATTTAAACATCTCAATTTCCCTGAAACAATTTAAGTATTTCGTGACCAATGGCACTTTACCAAGAGTGAAAGCTTGGGCCATATATTGATTGCAATACTGGTCCAATGGATACACAATGGGCACAAAATTTCCCTTGAAAGCTCTAAGTTCTTACCTGAAGGGAGGAGTGGTAAGAATTGAGAGCTTTTAAGGACGTTTTTGGTTGGATCAGAAAACCAGTTCTTAAGACATTGTTATTAAGAAACCAATTCTTAAGACTCATTGTTATTAAAATCACTTAACCCCGTTAAATTTTTCTCTTTATAAATTACTGGAACGATTCATGAAACAACTTTATAGACCATTTTTGGTGACATACTAGTACTACAAAAGGATGATAGCTACTGGATAGCTTTTCTGTTCTAATATTTTGGTTTGTGTCTGACATGATGTCCAATAAAAATGTAATACAAGGCACCTATGTACTTTTAAATTTTCAGGTGAAAATCTAAAATAGGTGAAAGTAATTTTAGTGATATTTAATCTAATACATATACAATACCATTCTTTTGATGTAAAAATATAACACTTATGCCGGTCTCAATTCACACTAGCCACATTTGAAATGCTTAATAGTCACATATGGCTAGTGGCTACTGTACTGGGCAGTACAGGTCTAGATTTCTTTTTTCCAAGAAAAAAATACTAGATGTTACCCTTGGTGGAAGAGGGACAGAATTTTAGAGAGAGAAACTGATTTGAGAAATGGGAGGTAGGGAGATTCAATTTTCACAACCATTGGTTTACTTTCTAGGTCATATGATTAAAGCTCATACAGCTAAGTCTTTTGTTTACATCTATCATATTTTTCCTGATATTATGTTGTCCATTGTGTCCATAGCATATCCATTGGACCATATTGCGATCATTATATATAGTCCAATGGTATACAAAGATCTTTCCAGCTGGAAGTGATCTGTGATCTATACCTATTCCTCTAAACTTTCTTTTTGGACAGAAAAGGTATCCAACAATTTAAACTTTTTCTTGAGACAGGGCCTTGTACCCTCACCAAGGCTAGAGTGTGGTGGCATGATCATGGCTCCCTACAACCTCTGTCTCCCGGGCTCAGGCGATCCTCCCACCTCAGCTTCCCAAGTAGCTGGGACTATTAGCCGCACTACCACACCTAGCTAATTTTTTGTATTTTTGGTGGAGACAGGGTTGCCTAGACTGGTCTTGAACTCCTGGACCCAAGCAGTCCAGCCGCCTCGGTCCCCCAAAGTACTGGGATTACAGCTGTGAGCCACTGCTCACAGCTCAATCTAAAAAAAATTTTTTTTTGAGACAGAGTGTCGCTCTGTCACCCAGACTGGAGTGCAGTGGCATGATCTCGGCTCACTGCAACCTCCGCCTCCCAGGTTCAAGCTATTCTCCTGCCTCAGCCTCTCGAGTGAGTAGCTGGGACTACAGGCGCAGGCCACCATGGGGTTTCACCATATTGGTCAGGCTGATCTCAAACTCCTGACCTCAGGCTATCCACCCGCCTCGGCCTCCCGCAGTGCTGGAATTACAGGCATGAGCCACAGCCGGTGTAAACTTTTATAAAGTGTTAAAGTGGGTGAGGAAAATGAGAAGGGTCATTAACTTTGTATCATTTGGTTTCAATTTGGTTGAAAGACAAAGATGCTTCAGAAATGAAGTACACTGGCTGGTCATGGTAGCTAATGCCTGTAATCCCAACACTTTGGGAGGCCAATACGGGATCATCACTTTAGATCAGAAGTTTGAGACCAGCCTGGACAACATGGTGAAACCTCGTATCTACTAAAAATACAAAAATTATTCAGGTGTGTTGGCACATGCCTGTAGTCCCAGCTACTCAAGAGGCTGAGGCAGAAGAATCGCTTGAACCCAGGGGTGGAGGTTGTAGTGAGCTGAGATTGTGCTACTGCACTCCATTCTGGGCAACAGAGAGAGACGCAGTCTCAGAAAAAGAAAACAAAGTGCGCTAATGTAGTTTTTCAAATGCTGTGTATGGAGTTATTTTATACTGTTCTTTTTCACGTCTTCCCACATAAAATATCCTTTGTCTTGGATATCCTTTGTTCTGTTTGAACATACACACCCCATACCAAAAACCATGTGGTTTTAGATAAATCTAGTACAGTTTTTGGTATAGGTGGTGTTTTTTGTTTTTAGTGTCTATAGTCATAAAACAAGAGGCCTTTGTTAAAGTTTCTAATAGCCAGAAGTTGGTATATGTGGGCACAAAAGGCATTTTGTTTTAAGTAGAACTTAAAGTGCAGATTTTTCATTCCTCCCTGCAGAAAGATAAAGACGTAAAGATGGACCATTGGTTTTGTCCATCAGGTGGTCCTTGATGGCCCTTGCAGGCAGTTTCATCAATAGGAAGGAAGCCGGGTTTCAGGCTAGTACTGGATGGTGAAGAAGCAGAGGCAGCAGAGTAGACAACTGTGTGGGTGAGAGAAAGGGAAGAGCAAGCTTGAAGGAGTAGCCCCGCCTGGGAAAGACTGGGTTGTGGAGACCTGAGAAGCACTGATTCACAGAATGGAAGAGACTGTTTAAGGGTGAGACTGGAAGTTTAGTTGAGAGAGGGGACGGAAGGACAAATGGGTGAGTGATGAAGCTAAATCACTTGCCTTTTACTCTTTGGAATTCTTGTATCCTTGTATTAAGATATTAAGCCTGAAACTTAAATGTAGTTTTCCCTCTAAATCACAAAGTGAACCAATCTTACATTTCTATATACTACATGTCTCAAAACTTGGTACAGTGTCCTTTCTAGGCCCCGATAGTGTTAGAGTGAGTAAGCATTTATTCATATTGTAATATTTGGGGTTGGCAAGAGTTTTAGGGTATTATGTTATATTTTGAGAATGTAATCATTTATAAAATTTTGCTATAAAGCCCCTTTAGACAGAAGGAAAA